TTTTGCAATGAATGTTGATTAGCGCCTAAAGTATAAGAGATAGAAGAAAGGTTGTAATAACCTTTTTGAAGGACAATATATTTAGGCGTAGATAGACGCTTAATTCACCTTTCTATCATTAACTGTTTGTGAGTTAGACGCGGAAACGTAAACCGATGACCCGCGCAACTTCCCCCCCTCCCCCCCGAGTTGTGACCACCCTAGAAATGCGACATCATCGATTTTTTTCATCTACTAGATGTCCCCAACAATAATCAAAAGTCAAATTTTGTCAGACTTTCAGTGCATACTCAACCCGTTTAGCGCCTGGACTACTTGGCCATCGGCAGTTTGTTAAAGAACTTAAGACCCTGAATTTGATATGTAGCTCAGCTGTCTTAGAGAGCCTAGCGCGGGGATCATCCAGCATGTTTCTCTGCCTGGTGTTGTAGGAATGGACCATGGCACGGGACGTAAGGTCTCTATGTTTATCCCAAACATGAAGAAGGCACAGGATAATATAATGACCGAAGACAAAATATAGGCAAAGTTAAATCATTAATAAGAATGAAATAGGCCTACTGGTAACAATAATAAATTACATCAAATGATAGAACTATGTTAACTAATTGGTCTTAGATTTCCCGTATTTTAAAAGGCAGCGCAAGGCGTTGTACAAATAAGAATAAAATGATAAAATTACAAAGTTTTACCGAATTCTTAACAGGCAAGGTTTACCAACTTAAATATTGGGCGTTTGGCATCTATAATTCACATAAATCGGGACTGATATATTTATTACTATTGTTTTATTAACTTAAGTTAAGTGAAAGGTATAAGTTAATCAGGTAATTTTCAAATTGCTGAATTAGAGTTAGCTAACAAAGTTGTCACTTCCAATTGCTTGACTGTGATTGAAAACAATCAGCTATTGGCTTCTTCACCCATCGTTCATTCCACTTGTAAATGTCATCCATCCTACCTTGTTAAAGTTATTCATTTTGTAGGCCTATATTGTTTGGCAATATCTTGAGTAATATTCATGGGTAGCCGGAATTCTACCCCCGGATATTTACCCCCATGAAAAAACACCTACGTCATTTTGACGTCACGAGGGGCGGGGCCTATACACGCTCGAGAAACAGCCCGCGACTGGAAATCTACCCCCGGACATCTACCCCCAGACATCTACCCCCGGACATCTACCCCCAGACATTTACCCCTGGACATCTACCCCCGGAAATCTACCCCCCGTGGTCAGCTCTGCCACGTATTGGCCAATATTCATTGTTGTAATTGATTTTATAAATTGCTTTTCGGTCAACGGCTCTTCGGTTAATCATTACCCTCTAATATCTGGTATTAAGCATTTGATATGTCATTGCCTTGTTTAACATTCTATCTTCCTAATAAAATATGCTGTAACAGCCCTTTTTCATCCGAACTACTTCACTGATATTTATGATTGAGGCGTAATTTTAAATCTTAAGATCAAGCGCAACGAAAATGGCATTTGACACTATATGTTGATAAAGGGCTTCAAAAGTGTGACCCTTAAGCATTTTATTTATTTCCAGACAGTGATTTAAATTGTTGACCAACTTTCACATACAGTAACAGCTAACGGCGCATGCACGAGCGCGGATCGGAAGTGTTTATCACAAAAGATTGACCAATACGATTTTAATACTATTTAAAGGTTCTTCCAAAAGAAGAAAAAAACAGATAACATTGTAATAATAACTCTTATGACGTACGGTATGGGAAATATTTTATTCATTGAATGATCAACCATATTTTGTAACTAACGCAATAGTCATTATTGCTTTTGCCAAAGATTACGTAGCATTATGTAATCTTTGCTTTTACACTTATTACTCATCAAAAAAGCTAAAGAGCTAAATGCTCAAAATTTTTATTACTTCAATCTATCTATCGCAGTTATATGAATTAGCATAAGCCTTTGAAGCAACCGTCAATGTTGACGGGTTTCACCTAATTCTGTTCTGTATACTACCTTAAAATGCCTCATTTTAACATTTTACTGGCAGGAAACCTGCTTATTCACTTCCTATATGGTATTCTTATGAATGAATCTTTTGAACACTTATTTATGGACTTAAGTTGACAAGTTCTGTTTTAAGGCAGGATTTTCCAATAAGACTTTATACATTCTCTGAATATGCGAATGTGCTGCAATGGGGGCGTACCGTTGATATACATTAAAATATATTAGGCTATGCTAAAAAAATTGAGTGTGACCATTATTTGAATTTTAATAATTGTCTTATTTTAAGTATTTAAGAGAAAATGCTATAAAATCCTTTCTTAGTACGCATCTAAAATCTTAGAAACTAAATTGAAGTGATATGAAAAATTTACCATTATACACCTGACTTTTATTGATCCTCTTTCTCAATTTAACAATTTACAATTGAATTGTCTTATTTTAGGTATTTAAGAGAAAATACTTTAAATCCTTTCTTAGTAAGCATCTAAAATCTTAGAAACTAATTTTTTTTACTACTAGGTGATATGAAAAATTTACCATTATACACCTGACTTGTATTGATCCTCTTTCTTAATTAAACAGTTTACAACTGAGTTTTGGTTTACTAAACAATTATCACTACTAGGCCTTCATTGAATAAACCGGAAGCTCACCACAGTGATTCACTTTATCCTTTAAGAAATGTGTGTAAAAACAATGGTTCAGTACGATGTAATACTTGACCATGTGAAAAGTGCGCAATATTATATTATTTTCATAACTTTTTCATCTCCTGTTTACAGTTGCAGATGATCTATTCATGTTTTCACAACCTGACTTAAAAATTGATCTCATGAGTACTACTCACATTTCACTTTTAAACTGGTATTGTATAGTGTAAAAGTTGGTCAACCATTGGAAGCACCTTCTATGAATAAATCAAAGGCTTAGGGGTCAACCTCTTGAAGCCCTAATCAAAATATCCTTTTAATTACCGTACCATTTTGTGCTGCGCTAGATCTTAAGCTTTTAAATGACGCCTCAATCGTAAAAATCAGTGAAGTAGGTCGGGTTGAAAAGGACTGTTACAACTTATTGAATTTTAAATATGGATAATGTTAAAACAGACATTGACATATCGCATGTTTACAACTGGGTATGGAATAAGAAGGTAAAGCAATTTATAAAATCAATTACAACAATGAATATTGGCCGATACGCGGCAGAGCTGACCACGGGGGGTAGATTTCCGGGGGTAGATTTCCGGGGGTAGATGTCTGAGGGTAGATGTCCGGGGGTAGATTTCCAGTCGCGGGCTGTTTCTCGAACATGTATTTAAGCCCCGCCCCTCGTGACGTCAAAATGACGTAGGCGTTTTTTCATGGGGGTAAATATCCGGGGGTATAAATCCGCTACCCCATATTCATCAGTGGTGAAAAATGATATTATAGGCCTATACGGATTTAGGGGGAAAAACTCTTAAGAAAGTAAAATATTATCAACCCTCCGAGCGTCACTCGTCGAAAAATCGACGCACGACACACTTTGTGTAGTGTGACGCGTCGATTTTTCGACGCACGAACATCGTTTACGGCGAAGGCTCTATGACTGACCGAAACTATACTCTATCTAACTCTATGACTGATGTTATGACTGACTGAATCGGATTGAACTGGATCGAGTTAGGTATCATTCTTTTCGTTATATTCTAAGCTTTCTCCAGAGGTCTGTCTCTAAGCGCTTTATGTTCTCCGAGCCGATCGTAATTGTAGCAGACAGCTGACGTGCGTATTTGTAAACAGCTAGGTTACCCTCGGACCGATGACTGATGTGTTTTATTACGTTTATCATTGTTTTAGTGTTAAAAATCAAAAGTAGTGATATACGTGGTGCATTATAAGAAGATTTAAGTGATTTTGAAGGGCTGGTTGATGATCCTGAAGAAGTAGGATATTGATGTAAATTATCAGCCAGATTCCTAGCTATGGTTAGGCTATGCATTCTTAGCTAAACGCTATGTACTGAAATCTGTTTTTTTTTTCTGCCCATAACTTATTTATTTGCAAATCTACTTCCTTATATTATTATATATTTGTAATCCTCATAAAATTTAGAACAAAGTGGCTATTTTCAAATATTTATAAGCCTATAATTTATACAATTTCATTGAGCGCGAACTTATTTATTTTTTGTTTTCCAAAATATTTTTTTTTACCTAAAAAATTTTTTTTGAAACAAATGTTCCTTAATGTTTTATGTATAATATTGAAGCCCATGATTTTCCAAACAAAATGGTATATAGAACAGTAGAATTAACATTGTTTTAAGCTTCTCAGATCCGTTTTAATAAAACCTTGCAAATGCGCCAAAATAGGCGGACATTAAGGCCTAAACTATGGACACTCGGAGGGTTAAAATTAAAAATTTGTTTGGAGGCACAAGTTATAAATAACTTAATTATGTAGGCTATACCAGAACTTGATATCTTATGTGAAAAAAACAGTGTCTAGCCTACAACACAATTATGATTGCGACGTCAAATTAACTTATGCAATTTCTTGACTAACTTACGCCTAGCCTATGTCTATTCAGTCATTAAGACCTACTTGGTAAGTTTGAACCTGTAGATATAAGATATTATGTAGGCTAGCACAGGCTATTTGTGTTTGTACTGTAGTATGCCCATTATAAATTAATACCTAGCATAATAATTTATATTCCAACACTCAATCATTATACCGGGTTAGTTATTGTGGTAAGGTTGGTGATAATACTGTTTATTTATCTAGCTATTGTTACAATCTGACCTAACCTCCTGAAACGACAAGCTTCAAGGTTATGTAGCCTGGATGACAAATATTAAATATTGTTCTATGAAACACAACCTGTACAGTTACGAACAGTAGGGACCTGTTTCGACGATAAATTCTATGTCAAAAAGCATTTCTGAAGAGGTCTGTGGTTTATATTATAAGATCTAGGTAGAACTTACTACAGTAATGTAGGCCTATATAAAATTTTGGATACTTACTCGGCCAGGCCATGGCGGGAAACCTTTCATCTTGGCCCTGCAATCAGAAAAAATGTTATAGCTTGTTAAAATCTCAAATTATTTTAAGAAACTCTAATTGTATATGCAATTTGTCAAAATTTCAAGGGAAACTTACCAAACCAAGTCACCAATTTTATAAACGTCAGGCATAGCTCTTGCTTCAACAACTACCGCTACTCGACTGATTCTGAAGTTTGGTTTGGTTTGGTTTTGGTTACAAAATACAAGCACAAGCAGAAGCAGCTCAAAAACGGTTTGTGATTGTTGGAACACTTGATTGGTGGAGCAGCGTGTAGAGGCTTCCTCCAATGACTATCCAACCCAAAACCACTATAGTTTCAGACTTTTGTTGTCCACAATAAAGTCAGTTTTTTATTTTTTTAAATAAACTCAGTATAAAATTATAAGATAACCATAACTGCTTTGATCTTTATGGCAAAATGTTATTTTAAGGGTTATTTGTTTTGGTAGATTATAAGAACAGTTTTGTTTTGAGTCTCTGTGTCATTACTTTCAAAGGCGTTGAATCTAAACTAATTCTAACTCACCAAGACCGTTGATCACATACTAAATTTCATGGATTCTTCCTAGATCCTTTTTAATTTTTTAAATATATAATTCTTTAGTTTTATAATTCAGAAAATTGGAGGGACGCATAAAAAGTAAAAATTATAATCTAATATACTATATAAGTAAATTCTCCTTCAAATCAAATCAAGTCGTTTATTACCAAAACAAAATACATTGTAGAACACCGTCAAATAAACACCGAATATCGTATTATCATATGTTTTATCTATGGTATTATCTATGGTAAAAGCATTGACTTTATATCTACACTAATATAGATAAAAGATATAAGATCTATACTAACACGGCCGCCTTTAAAAGGCGGCCGTGACACTAATATAGATATATCTACACCAGTGTAGATAAAATCAATATTTAAGGACTTCAATGACCAGCACAATTACAATTTCGCCTACACCACTGATACTTTGTCAGTTTGCCTGATTTGTCGTGGAGCAAGGCGCCACTAGAAAACGGGAACGCGCTAGAAAACCATGGTAAGATTTTAGAATATCCATCACTGTGACGCAGTGTTGCGCTGCCCGCGCTGCTGCATGGCCTGTTTTCTAGTGGGGCCTTGCGTGGAAGCGCCTTGACTGCCTTGACTGCGACAACATGGGCAATCCCGAAGACGTGGGACTCACTATATTATACTGCTCCCGTTATGCAGTATTCTCCACGTAAAAAAGCTCTACCTTGACCGAAATGCAATCTATCTAATTAAATAAGTGAATGCCTGAAACTGTACGAACCATTAGGGCTACAGTCACATGTTTTGTTTATGTAACCTGAAACATTACCAGAAGAAATGTGACAGCATTTTCAGGTCTTTCAGGTTTTCAGACCAGAATAAACATAATTTAAAATCAGGAATACACTATCCAATTGAAATTAATAGGAAAATAGCCGAAAAACGCCGACTCCGTAGAATATGGCAAAACTCTAGAGACCAGACGGATAAAAGAAATCTAAACAGGGCCACTCAACAACTGAAAAGGTTACTGTTTAAATTAAACAATGACAGATTTCAAGATTTCACATCAAACCTTTCTCCATCTGAAGCTAGTGACTACTCCCTTTGGAAAGTTACAAAAAACTTAAAACGTCCACAAATTTGCATTCCACCTATTCTAAAAGAAGACGGTTCTTGGGCCAAAAATAACATCGAGAAAGCAGATGTATTTGCTTCATACTTCAAGGAAGTGTTCAAGCCATATAATATTAATTCAAATGTTGAGCAAGAAATTTTGGAATTCCTCGATTCTCCAAATCAACTTGATTTACCAATAAAATTGTTCACACCATCTGAAGTAGCTAAAGTAATAAAAGACGATTTAAACGGCAAAAAAGCCCCCGGTTATGATCTGATAACAGGTAAAGTGTTGAAAGAGCTTCCTAGAAAAGGAATAGTTTTCCTTACAGTACTTTTCAATGCAGTTTTACGCCTTGAATACTTCCCAATACAGTGGAAGGTTTCACAAATTGTTGTTATTCCGAAACCTGGTAAACCTTTAAATCAAGCATCCTCGTATCGGCCTATATCCCTTATTCCTGTGGTTTCCAAAGTTTTTGAAAAACTTTTCTTAAAAAGACTCCAAATTATAATTGATGAAAAAGAATTGTTGCCTTCCCATCAGTTTGGATTCCGCCGAAGGCATTCTACCATTGAGCAAGTGCATAGAATAGTGAATGTAATCAAGGAAGATCTTGAAAATAAACGTTTTTGTTCATCTGCTTTTTTGGACGTAGCCCAGGCGTTTGATAAAGTCTGGCACACAGGATTATTGTTCAAAATTAAAACTTTGTTGCCCCATACATACTATGGAGTGTTGAAATCGTATTTGTCCAAACGATTTTTTCAAATTAAATATCAAGATATAGTTACAGATGTGCATGAAATTGAATCAGGTGTACCACAAGGCAGTGTTCTTGGACCTATTTTGTATATTTTGTTCACTTATGACCTTCCAAGTACTCAGGGTATTACGGTTGCAACATTTGCAGACGACACTGCTTTTTTATCATCAAATCAGGATCCTATTCTGGCATCATCAAACCTTCAGGCTGCATTAGACGATTTGTCTCAGTGGCTACAGAATTGGAAAATTAAAGTAAATGAAACCAAATCCGTTCAAGTTACATTTACTATGTCTACAAGAACTTGTCCCCCAGTAACATTGAATAATGTCATGCTTCCACAATCCAACGAAGTTAAGTACCTTGGTATGCATCTCGACAGACGGCTTACATGGCATTCACACATTTGGAACAAACGACTTCATTTAAATTTAAAAACAAACAAACTAAATTGGCTCATTGGTCGAAATGCAAAATTATCTGTTGAAAATAAATTACTTTTATACAAAATTATATTGAAACCTATTTGGACCTACGGTATCCAACTCTGGGGAACCACTTCCAACTCAAACATAGAAATAGTTCAAAGGTTTCAATCGAAAACACTGAGAAAAATTTTACAAGCACCTTGGTTTGTCACAAATAAAGTAATTCATCAAGATACGAAATTACCCTATGTTAAAGAAGAAATAAAGAAACGAAGTGAAAAATACCAAAGAAAATTAGAAACCCATCCAAATTTCCTGGCTGTTAACCTCCTCGACAATAGTGAAGCTACATATAGGCTCAAAAGAGTTAATCCAATAGACCTTCCAAATCGTTTTTAGTTAAACTTTTTAAAAGTTTTTGTATGTTAGTGCACTTGATGGAGTGTAACTAACCCATGTTAAAATGGTTATTGAATTTACTTATTATTCTAGTATTGAATAGATTGTAAATAAATACTTGTTAAAAAAAAAAAAAAAAAAATTTCAGGTCTAGCAGAGTAAAGCCACCCCCGTTAGTGAGAAGTCTGATTGATTGACCAGTCTCACACTACTTCAGGATGGTCACCACCCATGCCACCATCTGTGTGCATTAAAGCAGTAAATTTATTGTACATCAATTACACTATTATAATTATTCACTTATTATATTTTTATATTTCATGTTTAGCAAGTTTGTTCGAATTATCTATTCATTATGTTGTAACGCAAGTAGACTTCTCATCCAATTTTAAAACTGTAGCTAATTTTTTCCTTGTTTAGTTCATGTTGGTAAGATCATTGATAAAACATACTCCCTTAAGATTTAATCACTATAATAATAATGTCGACAAAGTTTTGTTTCCATTATTTTAGAATTTATTTCGTGATTTACTGTTTGGTTCAAATCTGATGAACTAGACACAATAGAAACATGCTATAAATAACATTTTATTATACACTATACTCTTTAAAAATATGTTTTTACTACAAATCCACAAATCCCTTATCTGCCATGTAGAAAGAAACCGTGTACAGCGAGGCTTTTTGGTATTGGAAATCCTGCTAAGCAAACGAAAGAAAAAAATCCTTCTGATTTAATTTCAGTGATTTCTGATTGGATTGGATCATCGATCGACATTGAAACTGAAACTGAAACAACCAACTCTCTACTTCAATCTTCATTCTTTTGATATTGTATTTGTTTTTGTTGAGGTTGTGTTTGCATGTTGAAATAGTATTTTGTTTTAAATTAACATTCACGATGAAATGCCACAGTGTTTTAGCATTCTTCGTTATCAGCTTAATAAGTAAAGGTAGGCATTATTGTAATGTAAGAATTTCTTCAGTTATGACTAATCGTTAGTGGGCGGGGCTCAATGTTTTTGTAAATAAGTGCTCTTTCTTTAGGGACTAGCCTTCTGTAGATTAATTTGCCTACATTTTAATACCTAATATTAAATTACTTGAATAACGATTTTTGCCCCAAGCATATAGGCAAAGTTTAAGTAATGATTAGCAATCACTGGGTTCCTATTATAGTGATAGACCTAGGTTAGGTAGATTGAAGAATTTACATTTTTTTTAAATATGGGCTAATTACAGTTTCTATTAACAAGCTCTGCCTTTGGAGCCCCATATAATAGGGCTATAAGTAGGTTAATCCAAGTAACTGGTCTACCTACTAATTTTTGGATGTTTAGTGTTAATAGATGAGGTTAAGATTAACAGCTAGCCTTAGACGGTAGTTGTTTAGGACACCCACTTCACCTTAAACGTTATAGATCTTTTAAGCTTAACTTATCGTAAGTATAAAGTCTACTAACTTAACCCTCCGAGTGTCCATAGTTTAGGCCTTAATGTCCACCTATTTTTGGCCCCTTTGCAAGGTTTTATTAAAACGGATCTGAGAAGCTTAAAACAATGTTAATTCTAATGTTCTATATACCATTTTGTTTGGAAAATCATGGGCTTCAATATTATATATAAAACATAAGGAACATTTAAAAAAAAAAATATATAATTTCGAAAATTTTCAAAAAAAAAATAAGTTCGCGCTCAATGAAATTGTATAAATTATAGGCCTATAAATATTTGAAAATAGCCACTTTGTTCTAAATTTAATGAGGATTACAAATATATAATCATATAGCGAGGTAAGTTATCAAATAAATAAGTTATGAGCGAAAAACGGATTTCAGTACATAGCGTTTAGCTAAGAATGCATAGCCTAACCATAGCTAGGAATCTGGCTGATAATTTACATCAATATCACTACTTACTTCTTCAGGATCATCAACCAGCACTTCAAAACCACTTAAATCTTCTTATAATGCACCACGTATATCACTACTTTTGATTTTTAACACTAAAACAATGATAAACGTAATAAAACACATCAGTCATCGGTCCGGGGGAACCTAGCTGTTTACAAATACACGCACGTCAGCTGTCTGCTACAATATTTTCGGAACTAAAATGAATAGCGCTTAGAGACAGACCTCTGGAGAAAGCTTAGAATATTACGGAAAGAACGATACCTAACTCGATCCAGTTCAATCCGATTCAGTCAGTCATAGAGCCTTCGCCGTAAACGATGTTTGTGCGTCTTAAAAGCGACGCGTGACCCTACACAAAGTGTGTTGTGCGTCGTTTTTATGACGCGTGACACTCGGAGGGTTAAGGGTGCGCTCTAAGTTACCTCAGCTCAAATATCTCAATACGAAGTTGCTGAACGCTGATGTCCCTATAACTTACCATTGCATTGAACAGCGCCATGAAGAGCGCTTGCAAGCCTTTCGAATCTGGGTGATTACATTGTTATTCTTAAAGTTTTTAATAAAGTAGTGCAGATTCTTGTTTTTAAGAATCATCAATTGCATTTACCCTGTTTGTTATTTTTTCTCTAAAAATTATTTTTAGGTCATGGGTTAAAACTTAAGATAAAAAACGTGTAATTTAACATTTTTACCAACCTTTGAGCCCAAAATTTTTTTTAAATATTAGAGATTTAAAAAGAAACGGCAAAACTACAATAATATTAAACTAGGTGGTGTTAGCAGAGGCATCCACAAAATTGAGCGGAGCCATCAAGGGTTCATATTATATTGTTTTTGTCATACTGCAGTAAAAACAGTAGTTTTTAATGCATGCGTTGCGGGTCTAAAGTAGGTAGCATTTTTAATATTTAAGGAGTAAAAACCGTTTTTAGCCTCTATTGAGTAAAAATCAGCTGTTGTCAACTCAGTTGTAAATTTCGATTGTAAACGATTGCATGTAGCCTATCAAAAATATGTATCGATTTGTGCTTCGTAATCATTTTAAAATACAGTCTACAGTCTCTTCCCGTAGCATTTAGCATTGCAGATACATTAATCCATTCCCACACTCAACACTGCTCACCTTTGCTACTTCCTCCACCACCCCCTACGTCGTGGACCTGTTTCCCTCTCTTCCCATAGCATTTTAGGATTGATACATTAATGTAATTTTGCCAAAGACAGTTCCCACACTCTGCACTGCTAGCCTTACTACTTCCTTCACCATTTACTACGTCATACACCTGTTTCCTTCCTTTCTCGTAGCATTTAAGTATTACAGATACATTTACTGCCCAAACGGTTCCCCCACTCTGCACTGCCAGCCTTTACTACTTCCTTCAACACTTCCTACGTCGTGGGGCCTGTTTCCTTCCCTTCTCATAGCATTTTAGTATTGAAGATACATTAATCTAACTGCCACAGACGGATCTCACACTATGCTGATGCTCGTACTTTACTACTTCCTAAGCCACTTCCTACGTCGTGGACCTGTATTCATCACTTTCTATAGCATTTTAAATACGTTAATCTAATTGCCACAAACATTCCCACACTCCGTACTGCTAGCCTTTACTACGTCTTTCACCATGTCATATGTCGTGAGCATGCTTCCATCCCTTCTCATAGCATTTCAGCATAGCAGATACATTAAAACTGCTACAAACGGTTTCCACTTCCCACACTCCACACTGCTCACCTTACTACTTCTTTCACCTCGTCCTACGTCGCGGATCTGTTTCCCTCTCTTCCCATAGCATTTTAAGATTGTAGATACCTAAATCAAATCGTCATAAACAGATCCCGGTACTTTTCTGTTAAAGGGAACATTCATTATTATCGATGATTTTTTCTCGATATATCAATATTTTTGTTTACCGATCCATTACATATTGACAATTGATCTTGTTTAGGCTAAAATAGTCTATTATATGGATTAAGAAATTCAACTGATATAAGCTAACCTAACATAACCAACCAAACTTGCCGTACTATTTAAAAATTCCTTTTGATAACAGAAAAGGCAAGTTAAACATGGAATGTTACATAGCAAGTTTGGTTAGTTATGTTAGGTTATTTTTTTTAGAACAGTTTCATTTAATTATTGTTTTTTGATACCAGGGCCGGATTTCCCAATAGGCCCGGTAGGCCCGGGCCTATGGGCGCAAGGTCCCAGAGGGCGCACGGCAGAGAGTATTTTTTTTATACCTAGGCTATCTAAAAATAAAAATAAATAGTCATAGTTGATAAAAAACACTCCAAAGCATTGTGATTCTGAAGTTCATAAAAATAAATAATTATTGTTAGGAAATTTAAACTATTTTTCAGAATTACGCATCAATTTCGTTACAAAATTGGTAACGAACATTGGTTGTATGGGAGTAGGCTGTAGGGTTGTTGACGTTGGCGAGCGCCCTAGGGGTATGAATCAAATTGCCACTGCACTGCCACTACGCTGGCTCGGGCTCGTCACTACTGATCAGAGTGATTAGGGGCGCATGCGTGCTAGACATTGTTACCACCCTCAGCTCACAAAGCAAAAGATATTAACTAATCTTTTGATTAGTTTACAACAATTTGCAGGACCAAGTTAAAATATATAATAAGTTGTGTTGAATATTAAAACAACGATGAATTAACCTTTAAATTAACGAAAAAATAATAATCTCAGTTTGCATTAGATTTTATAAAAAATCAATACCCTCCAAAGCACTATTAATGCTGTCATTTTCTCCTCAGGCCTAAGGATCGGTACGGTTGGCCGGAATATTGCTCTGTTTTGCTTTGGAAATATAACCTAGATGCAGTAACCCCATAGATTAAATTTAACTCAAGTCGACTTCTTATGACATTATTCATTCAAAATTTCTTCATGTTGGTGACACTGGACGTTAGTTATGACGTAATTTTGTTTCTATTATTTTAGGGTTAGTTCTATAATGTGTGTTTTAATTTCTAGTAATATAAACAGGAGACCTATTGTTGATGATTAGATCGTTTTATTTAGGATAAACTAGGTTTAAACATAGATAAAACATACTCCTTAAATAACAAAATTTTTTTTCAGCCAATCCAAAATTATGACAAATCTACTAAAGGAGTATGTTTAATCTATGGTATCACGTACTGTATGGAGTTGATGTTTTTGGGCCTGGAATTGGAATCAATGGCCATGTTTTTTTTGTGTTTTTTTTTTTTTAGGAATGCTTGGTGGGTTGAGGTTTTGTTTTTTTTTGTTTCAGTCCCACGGCCACAAACGTGAGCATTTATTAAAAGCATAAAATTGCTAAAAGTGTTTAAGATGGCATTTTGTTAAGGGTAAATAAGTTAATACTTCAAAAAAAGCTTGCAATAATTCCAACGTGGAGTGGTATTCAAGAAATTAACTCAGGCCTATGGGCATGATATAGTTTTTAATAAAGGTTTGAAGGAAAGTAACTGTGACCAGACTAGGGGGCGGAAAATTATTTGGGCCTAGGGGCGCAAAAATGCTAAATCCGGCCCTGTTTGATACTGAACAATATTTATCGTAGTTGTCAGCTGATATGATTCAATTTGTTAATATCGATATATCGAAAAAAATCATCGATAATAATGAATGTTCCTTCTAACAGGAAAGTACCCAGATCCCACACTCCGAACAACTCGTCTTTACTATTTTCTTCACCACTTCCTACATCGCGGACCTGTTTCCCTTACTTTCCATAGCATTTTAGGATTGCAGATACCTTAATCTAATCTTCATAAACAGTTCCCACACTCCGGACAGCTCGCCTTGACTACTTCCTTCACCACTTCCTACGTCACGGACCTATTTTCCTCCCTTCCCATAGCATTTTAGGATTGCAGATACTTTAATCTAATGGTCACAAACAGTTCCCACAGTCCGGACTGCTTGCCCTTACTACTTCCTTCGCCACTTCCTACGTCACGGACCTGTTTCCCTCCCTTCCCATAGCATCATAGGATTGCAAATACCTTAATCTAATGGTCACAAACAGATCTCACACCCCGAACAGCTCGCCTTTACTACTTCCTTTACCACTTCCTACGTCACGGACCTGTTTCCTTCCCTTCCAATAGCATTTTAGGATTGCAGATACCTTAATCTAATCGTCATAAACAGTTTCCACACTCCGGACAGCTCGCATTGACTACTTCCTTCACCACTTCCTAAGTCACGGATCTGTCTCCCTCCCTTCCCATAGCACCATAGGATTGCAAATGCCTTGATCTAATAGTCACAAACAGATCCCACACCCCGAACAGCTCGCCTTTACCACTTCCTTCACCACTCCCTACGTCACGTTCCTATTTTCCTCCCTTCCCAGCATTTTAGGATCGCAGATACCTTAATCTAATCATCTTAAACAGTTCCCACACTCCGGACAGCTCGCCTTGACTACTTCCTTCACCACTTCCTCCGTCACGGACCTGTTTCCCTCCCTTCCCATAGCATCATAGGATTGCAAATACCTTAATCTAATGGTCACAAACAGATCCCACACCCCGAACAGCTCGTCTTTACTAGTTCCTTTACCACTTCCTACGTCGCGGACCTGTTTCCTTCCCTTCCAATAGCATATTAGGATTGCAGATACCTTAATCTAATCGTGATAAACAGTTCGCACACTCCGGACAGCTCGCCTTGACTACTTCCTTCACCACTTCCTACGTCGCGGATCTGTTTTCCTCCCTTCCCATAGAATTTTAGGAATGCAGATATAATCGTCATAAACAGTTTCCACACTCCGGACAGCTCGCCTTGACTACTTCCTTCACCACTTCCTAAGTCACGGACCTGATTTCCTCCCTTCCCATAGAATTTTAGGAATGCAGATACCTTAATCTAATCGTCATAAACAGTTTCCACACTCCAGCCTGCTTGCCTTTACTACTTCCTTCACCACTTCATACGTCACGGACCTCAAGCTAGTGTCGTCATTTGATCATATTTATGATCCATACCGTTTCTGTTCTAATATTTGTGGAATAATGCCATCAGCTATTTCTTTATCAACTGCATTCCAACGTCAACAGCTGATCATATGTCTTTGTTTATGTGTCAAATACTGCTTCCATAAGGATTACATTGAAACTTTGAGACCCAGTGGGGCGGATTCCTGAGAGACTTTTTTAACGCCATATAGATGTTGGCACTCACCGATATGGTCTTTATCACCATGCAAAATTTGAAAACGATTGATTCAGCCGTCTAGGAGGAGTTTGCGTATTACGAAATGCATAAGAGTCGACGTATAAGAGCTTCGCTCGCTCCGCTCAAAAATAAAAATGACACCAAGATCTTTTAAATCGGTTCATATTGGAGCTACAATCAGTAAGAAACCCATTGCATTTGTGCACGCCAGGCGGGTAGAGCGCAGCCTTAAGTTTATCTTTGACATCTGACACAACTTGTTTAAATGACTTTTTTAAAGGCGATACCTCCTTTTATTCAATTTAATATCTTAGCAGAACCTCAACCCACTTTGGGGACGGGTAGGAATTCGGGGGTTTAGGTGGGGGAGACATCCAACAATATTTAGTTAATAAGGGAGGATGGGTAAACTTAGTCAGATGGATATAAAAGTAATTGGACTGGAGATGATGGGTGATTAACTGAGCTGGGAGGAATGGAAACTTTCCCTGAAATAGAGAAATTTACTCATTACTTAGGTACCTACCAACCTAACCAACTACCAAGCTAGGTGATACTACTTGTCGGTGGGATACAAGTCTAGTTGTACCTACGTCTACTTGTACCTACGTCTAGTTGTACCTCCTAAAAATCTGTCAGGTACAACTAGTCGGGTGTGCCACCGTCTACTTGTACCTACGTCTAGTTGTACCTACGACTAGTTGTCCCTAGGCCTCGAGGTACAAGTAGACGTAGGTACAACTAGACGGCGGGACAACGAGACGCGGTCCCAATCCAATGAGCAATATTTTTAAAAGCCTATCGTTGATTGGATGTTCAAATACAATTTCAAGACCCATTTAATTTTCAGGGAACTGCTTTGGTATTGGATCAACCTTATATTGCTATCAGTGTATATCGACACATCCGGGTTGTCAACCGTTCAACTGGTGGTGGCATTGGAGCCAGGCTTGCCCCGAGGAAGATGATACTTGTGTCAAAATCATCGAGAGAAAAGGAGGTAAGCTTCTATTAATTCAGTAAATTAGGCTGTACAATTCAGTATTATTATCTTTACCTGTTCATGATAACAAATAATTTATTGCTGTAAAAACATGAAGTTTACACATTTAAGCCAAGGCATTGTCATATTTTACAATAGTGAGTGATTTACGTATGTGTCAGATTGCAGATAGCCTACAGTTTATTTTGTATTACCGGTATCAGTGAATTTGTGCCCAGTCAGAATGACTAGGTGTAGTGAGAGTAACCAACTCTCTCTTGCTCTCATCATGTTTTTATAAAATTGTCAACGTGAAAATTCATTACCGGTACTACTGCTTGTCTCTGGATTGCCCCCAATTAATTTTCATACTTCGCTCACAATATTTATGAGAATTGAGGGGAAGTTCCCCCACCACTTTTTTTGTATTTAACGTATGTTTATTAATCAGCTGTTGAGCTATTATTTGAAATCTAAGTGTCAAGTGGAGGGGATGGGTTTCTTCCCCTAAAACCACCTAAATATTGTGAAGGAAGTATAATAAACTATAATATAATTGTACAATTACCTCGTCACAGCTCCGTAGTTTCCGTAATATTACGGCCGTTTCGGCATCAAAATGCCATCCTCAGATACATACATCCACCGGATTTGGCGTCGTCAAACTTGTCTAATGGGTATGACATTAAAACGGTCGATAGCTTAGTAAAGAAGTACAAAAATAAACAAACTCCAAATCAGAATCTAACCCAGCAAAACAAGAAATTTGTCTGCGTAAATTATTCTCATCCCCTGCAACACTGCCTAAAGAATGAGTTGAAAAAGCATGGAATTAAACTAGCTTTCAGAACCAACAATAAAGTTATAAATAAGTTAAAACCTAAGATTAATAAAAATAAAGCTGACCAATCAGGTGTATATAAAATAAAATGCGCTAGTTGTCCGAGTACGTACATTGGAAAAACAGGACGTTCCTTTAGCATTAGGTACAAAGAACATCGCCCTAACGGAAAAACTGACAAACAAAAATCCACTTTCGCACAACACCTGGTTGACAATAATCACGACTTACTTGATTTGGACAATGGCTTAGAAATTCTGCACGCCTGTATTAATGGAAATAGACTAGACACCCTTGAGGAATACGAGATTTACAAAGCCCATAAAATGAAAAACAACGATGAATCCATACTAAATGACCAACTACAATTTAAATCTCACACTATTTTCAATAACATCATCAAACGAAGCAAGCCAAGGGATCAAAGTCCAAGAGATAACACCGCAACGGCTGGAACGAACTAGCAGTTGTCCAGTCAGCTTCCGTACACGTACTCATCATGTGCGCGACAGGCCTGTCTTTCGTTTTTTATGTTTTAAATGTTTGTTATCGTGTTACGTGTGTGTTTCAAGTTTGACGACGCCAAATCCGGTGGATGTATGTATCTGAGGATGGCATTTTGATGCCGAAACGGCCGTAATATTACGGAAACTACGGAGCTGTGACGAGGTAATTGTACAATTATATTATAGTCATCAATTCAGCTCAGGGGCTAAACCATGTCTATTGTATAATAAACCTCGTTTCTGGAAAATACTTTCTCATTAATCCATAATCCCCTCTGGACAATTATGTTTGTATGGAATTCCATACAAGAAATAGAAGGATTGTTTGTTACCTTACTATGTGATCTCTTCAGTTAATTTCTTGTTTCATTTTACCAGGCAATGAAGTGGTAACACGTAACTGTCTGAGCTCTCTAAGAGCTATCCGGACGGATATTCCCGCAGATCACTACGAGGGGTGTCGCAAGGCGGCCACTGACTTTAAGCTGGCTCACTACGTCAACAACTCCATCAAGGAGCTTGATATCAAACGGTAACTCAAGACTTGATTTTTACAATGAGTGATTTTTGGTTTATATGGAATTTTGTATTCAAAATTAAAGCCATTTCATGTTTCTGTAGTACATGTCAATGGAAGTTTACCAAACTTGACTCAATGCACACTTTCTATTTTCACTGAAATTTGTGTGGTTCATTGAATTTGCCGTCTTCATATAGTACCTTGACTCTTGAATTATTTTTTCCACCGATCATACTCATTCCTGTAACAATCTGACCTAGGTTGTGTTTTCACAACTACACTCCAACGTGACAAAAAGTGTACAAGCATTATCAATCAATTGTTACTATTATACACCTACAAAAAACAAAAGGGTAGTTTAGTTTTTATCATCCCACACCACCAGGTTCTACACTCATCCTTCACGGATATTTGGGTTAAAATATGCGCCTATGTGCCACCATCTAAACTAGTAATAAAATTATAATAATAGTAAATAAATAGTATTCAGTTACTAATAGATGGATCTCACATGAAACTCAACTTGCAGGTGGTAAATGTGTATTAAGAATTATTTTAAACTAGCTGACCCGACAGACATCGTCCTGTCCTAATGTGGTTTTATGTCAAATGCTCGTTCATTTTCAAGATGAGCTCGTTCGGATGGCTCAATCACGTCCTGGTTGAAGATCGTTCGCTACGCTCACTCACCTTTAGGTTGGACCTCGGTTTCGGAGTCCATAAAGGACAAACATACATACATTGGATTTTCTGGCCTATGACCTTACTGGCCATAGCGTTTCCATGGTAATCTAATGGATTGGAGTTTTATTCTATTAACAGCTTGCAGCAATTACAAGTTAAAGTTATAAATTTAAGAAAACTTACATACAACCAACAGATCAAGAAAGTGCAACCTCCAAAATTAGATTAATGAATCTCTAATAATAATTTGAGGAAATTCTGTGTTCTTCTAAATGTTTCAAGAAACTAAGATGACAAGACTTTGACAAAAAAAAGCATTTGTATTGAACATAATTTGTATTTACATGTTTCTATGTGAGTTTTTGCACAAATTGTAGCTCCATTTCTTATGCAACCTTGGTTATCGAATTTTCTGTGTGCAAAGGATTGTGGGAACAGCCAGAGCAAGTAAGAAATAAAAACAGTTTTTGTTTCTTTCAAATGTTTCAGGGACTATTATGACGAGGTGACGTGGTGTTTCTGCTACTTTGACAACCGCTGCAACAGTGCCGCCACTACGACAGTGTCACTAGTCACAATCCTGGCCTCGACGTTGTTAGCTCTAAAGATGTACATGTGATCCTTAGTGTAACTTGTTGTAAGCCTGAATCTCACTTCTGCAGTCATGACTCAAGTTTGCTACTAATCTAGATACAAATTTGAAATTGTGACATAAATAGGTAAGGTTCCAGCAAACTCTTATACCTGACGCAAACACAAAGTTGCAAACCAGCTGCACCGACAATCAGTTGGCTACCAAACATAACTCCTTACCACGCACAGGTGTTAACATATGCACTCGTGAATAATTCTTATTGTATTTTACATTTGTACCCTAGGCTATTGGTAGCAACTAAATAGCTAACTCAGTTGAATAAAAATCAAATCCTATCTTTAATTGATAAGATTGGTTGAGAAATCCTTGTTTTAAGATGCGAAATTCAGCTTTCTCTGTGTGCGCTGGCCTTTAACATTTCACTTGTACAATTTTACTTTTTTACCAATCTTTTTTATTTTTACTTTTATTGCACATATGTATTTATTGATGTTTAATACAGGGTGCGGCAAAAAAACCGATCCATTTTCTGCAGAGCACTGTTCAGCAACAGGTAGTCTGAGAGTGGTGGAGTAGGCTCGTTGGAAAGCCTACACAAAGCCATTTTTTGTAGTCATAGCAGTGGTTGCCTGAGCTACATGCGGTTGTTATGGAGTTGTTTTAAAAAAGTATTGAATTCATTTATTGCAGCTCAGCGGCATCGGCAGTTTCATGCATTCTTTCAATTAAGACGACATGGAGAAGTTCCGTTGCGTATCACAATAATGTGGTGGGTTACTAACTTTAGAACGGCTTCTGCGTTGAAAAGGAAGCTGAAAGGCCGTCCAAAGTCAGATCGGACGCCAGACAACTAACATTCGATAGAGTTTGTGCTGCTGTGGAAAACAGTACTCGCAGGCCCGCCCGAAAACAAGCGGCTTGCCGAACATGTCTGTGCTCAGTTACACGAATTTTGAGGTTAATTTTCATCCCTACAAATTAATTAGAATAATAACCTGTTTAATTGTGTTATCCATACAGATAATCACGACGGAACCTCTCCATGTGGACCTAATAAATAAAAGCACGGAACTGCCACTGAATTGCAATAACTGATTTACTATTTTTTTTAAACGACTAGATAACAACCGCACGTAGCTCATACAACCACTGCTCTATGATTACAAGAAATGGCATCGTATAGGCTATCCAACGAGCCTACTCCCACCACCCTCAGACGGCCTGTCGCTGAACAATAATGCGCTGAAGAAAATAGATCGGTTTTTTTGCCGCACCCATATTTGCAATGGCTCCAACGCCTGTACACATTTCAAAGACCTTAATTTAAATGTAATTGATTTAAAAAATTTCAGGGCTGTGCGAATAGTTCGAAAAACGAATCTAATCCGAATCTTTTTAGAGATTCGATTCGGATTCGAGAACGAATCTACTGTTTCTAACTGGATTCGGATTCGGAATCGATATTCGAATTTACTGGTAAGAGATCCGGGTTCGGATTCGATATTCGAATTTCTTGGAAATAGATCCGAGTTGGGATTCGATATTCAAATTTACTAGATTCTGATTGAATATAATTTTCAATATAATTTTTTAGACACTAAAAAACTACTTGTGCACTCCGATTTGCTGTTGACTGGTTCATGTTAGGAACCTGACCAACTTGGTGTTAGGCTTTAGGCACATTAGTGTAGGTCGCATTTGAACCCTATCTTGGCTATCAGTAAACAGGGTGTCTAGTTTATTTCCATTATAAAATTCAAGACTAATTCCAGACTTTTCAAGACTAATTCCAGATTTTTCAAGACTAGTTTTTTCAACAATTAGTGGGCGTTGATAAAAAATGTATCGATTCTCGATTCTTGATACCGTTACCAATTTTTATAGCTTAACCAAATGTTCTAAATAATACTACACCAACCCCTGTCTTTGTCATAAAGTAGTATTATGATAATGTGGAGTTTTCAAGTAAAGAAATAATGCAGCAATAAAAAATTGGAACTAGCAAATTTGGTTGTTTTTTTATCATGAAATCTTCCGCGTACCGTACGTTTAGACATCATCATTGACTGCAGCAGTTACAGAAACATGATCATTGTCGTCCGCTCGGCAAAATCCTGAACATTTCCCGCGGCTGTTTAGACATCACCGTCGTCTCCTGCGGTCATCGTCATCTCCTGCGGTCACGGAAACGTTATCGTCGTCTCCCGCGGTCACGGTAACGTTAATGTCGTCCCCAGCGGTCACGGAAAGGTCATCATCGTCTCCCGCGGTTTCGGAAACGTCATCGTCGTCTCCTGCGGTTTTGGAAACGTCATCGTCGTCCACTATCGCGGCAAAATCGTGAACATTTCCCGACTTGGAAATCAAATTTAAGACTAAATCCCGACTTTTCAAGACCATTATGAAATTCAATACTAATTCCCGACTTTTCCGACTACTAGACACCCTGAGTAAACTTAACCTCACAGTGTTAGTTGTTACTTGTAATAGTAATGCAGACATAGGCTTGTGTGGAGGATTAACACCGAGGTGTATTGTATAATAGGCTGGGCCTATGTTTTAGACTACACAAATTGGCAGTCCACCACTTTTAGCGAGTAACTTAGGCCTAGGTGGTATGCCTAACTTATGCCCAATTTTTTAGTTTCAAAACTTCAAATAGGTAGGCCTAAATTTTATAACTTTTTTATTTGGCCCATTTCAAGAATTTTTTTAAGCAATTCCCTAAGTTATTTCAGCCCCAGAAAATGTGGTCTAAAAATGTGAAAATTGGTACTGCTGACTTTCCTCGGATTTTGATTTGACTCTGAACAGGTTTAAATATTCGGATTCGATAACAGCTTTAAATTTCAGATTCGGATTCGATCCAGGTTCGATAATGGCTGTAAATTTGAGATTCGGATTCGACCCAGATTCGACTCGGGATTAATTAAAATATTCGGATTCGATCCGGATTCGATAAAATCTGTACAGCTATGATTCGGATTCGGATTCAAACCAAAATTTCTGGATTCGCACAGCCCTGAAAAATTTATTTTATTAATATGAGCCAAACCCACCTAGCAATAATTAATACATTTACATGTCCAATTCACTGTAAACAATGTTTCACATTGCATATTTGTGTATTTTTGTGTGTTTCATACTTTTGACAAACAAAAATATTATCTGATTGTCAATTTTATACTGCTTGTTACTTCTTTAAACTGTAATAAGGACATCCCATACAGTTTAGGCTTACTTGTGTTGTATAGATTACCTTTGACGAACATTTTAACTGTGCCTTATTTGTACAAATAAATGTATATTGTTACATTTTTAGTCTAGGATAAGTATTGAACAAAATGAATTCACTTCAATCTATTATTAAAGTTAAGTACACGAGTTATTTAAAAGTGACCTTTTTTACCTTCAAAAAATAACATTTTTTCTAATAAGGGAGTTTTTTGTGTATTAAAAAGCCTTTCAAATCAGGTAATGGTAATATATAACTTGGGAAATTGTTAATCAAGGAAAGTATCATAAAAAGAGTAAAGCTGGGTTTTCCTAGGCGCGGAGTCGGCCAGCGGAGAGCGGACAGCGGAGAGCGGAATTGAAATTAACATGGCATTCCGCTCCGCTTCTAGGAAAACAGTAACATTAAATTGCCTAAGACAAGCTGAGTCCGCTCTCCGCGTTCCTCTCTCCGCTGGCCGACTACGCGCCTAGGAAAACCCAGCTTAACACACTTCAATTTTTCAAAGGCAAAAATTATCATAGCCTCCTCTAATATAAGGCGACGGCTAGACAAAAGTGGCAACACTGCTGTCCCAAAAAACCGAAATAGCTGTTGCACAAATTTATAATGGACTGTATATGCAATATTTATGTTTACACTTAAGTTATTTCTGTTATATAACCAATGTTTATTTGTTATTTATCCAGTATAATTTACATTTTACAGTAGCCTAAGGTGTCAAACAGTTGAATTCCTGTAGCAGTTTGTTTTTCGTATCAACTACGATACATCTTCAGCTGGGTAGCACAGGTTAAAACAGCTCACATTGAGAATGTTTGTCACACATTAAAATAAAACAACGAATACGGACACACATTATTTACAAATTTACTAACATTGACGACTCAGACGAATCAAACTAAACGATACCTTAGTAAAAGGTAAACTATACTGAATAATTGATACGTGTCTAGGCTTTAGTAACGAATATTATTTGTTATTATGTCAATAGGAATATCAAATCAAATCAAATAGGCATGACATTGCAACGTTTTCATTCACCAACATGTATTAGAGAAGGCTATAAAAGAATACATTATTGTGAGGGCATTTGAAGACAATTTCTGAATATTAATCCTACAACATACTGCTAATTAAAAGCCATTTGAAGTTAAATTAATCATAAAGGTGTATATTTTTCTTGTAGGGAATTGAGAGGTTGATTTTTACGAGGCTTTATAAATATTATGTGAGTACTGAGTAATACATTGCTGTACACTTTTCTGTTTGTAATGTCTATTTATTTTTACAAATTGTACAATTTTATTAATTATTGTAAGTTTAGTGTAGAAAGCTATTTTGAACACTTTCACAGCCGTGCCAATAATAAATTTGTGGCTTATTGTACTTTAGCATTCATGCTTGGTTGCACAATTTTATTGTTATCCTTAATTTTATATTTGTCATAGTTGTTTTGATATTGTATTAGTCCTAGATTTTTTATTTGACAGAATTATTTGTTAAAATTAAGTTTGATGTTTTGAATTAATTTTATTTAACTGATGAATTGTAAGGTGTGTCTTACTTAAGCCTTGTAATGTTCAAGTTTGTTAACATTTAAAAAATCAAATTTATTGGTCTTCCTGAAATAACGCAATCCGTCCATTGTAATGTAAGGTAGATCTACTTCTTTAGTTTTTATAATTACCATTGTGTATATTTGAATTAAAATTAAATATTTTCCATATTTATGGGACTTAAGTTGCCTATGCTTTTTTCACTCACCCCATTACTATACCCTTTTTAATTTATGTATATTGGCTGTTATTGTCAATTTTATTGGGTCAAAATACTCAAAATTCTAATTCTATGGTTACCTTAAGGTAGGATTTCTGAGTTAAAACAAAACTGTAACAGCTGCAAAGCTTTTAATGTAGGGTATCTAAAAGGAGTTTATTTAGTTGCGGCATCCTGCACCTAGAACCCAGCTAACAAATTTAATGCTCATGTTGTTTGTTGTTAGTTGATTGTTTCACAAACACTTTGCTAGAGTTGTGTGGCTACAGTTGTATGTTAATTCTCATACAAATGTTGTCTTTGAATGCTACTACAACGTAATTGGATTACACTTGGATTTTAGCAAAATAATTTATAACACTATAAATAGTAATTTATTTACAAAATACAGAATTGGAAAAATAAAACTATAAAACAAAGTCCGAAAATAAACAAGGTAAGATGCATCTTTATTCGTACCACTTCTTTTTGTTAGTTTGAGATAGTAATTTCGATTTGTACTTGTCAACCAACTTGCTGAATGTTTCGTCCTTTTCTAAAGTCTTCTTTTTCTTTGATGACACCTTTTCAACCTAAAACAGAGGGTTTCAAGTCCAAATTAGTAATTTTCAAAAGAAAAGTAAATTACTTTGCGGCATCTGAAATGGAGAAAAAGAATGATAAATTTATCTTGATCTGTAGAACTACTCTATGTAATCGGTGTAAAAATAATGTGGCGGGTAATTGGAAAATATTTTAAAATTTTGCAGTTTAAATAATTCTTTTTACCACTCCTCGGTGTTTAAATTAACCAGTTCCATTGCATAACTGAAACAGTGAATTACTCTATCTAAAATCCAAACTGTCTTTATCTGCTCAATTAGATCAATATAAGCTTTTACCCTTGACTATGCTTTTACAAATTAATAGGTGTGAGAAAGGATAGGATAAGCAGGCTTACCTTAAAAAATGTAGGCATCCCACTTCATTCACTACAGAACACAGAAGAAAACACAAACAAACCAAATAAACATTGGATATTTCGAGGCCACTGGCCCCTTTCTCGACATGGAGAGTCACATTAGATATTAAGAGTCTTTCACTGGTAAGGAAGCAGTGTTGCCAACACACTATGAATTTACAAATGAATATTTACAGGTTATGAGTCATTGATTTTATTTACACTTAGTCTAAGCCTGCTTTTTAGGTGTGGAAGGGGAAAGAAAAATGTTAGGCCTATCTGAGATTGAGGTTTGGGGGCTCCCTGGATTTGGTGAACCATTGATAAGAGAGTTCCCATCTCCTTAGTTGTGATGGGTTACAGGTGGGAGGGAAAGATCTTATTATTTTTGAATTGAAACAACTGTTTAAATCTTGCATATTGTGGCTGGTAGCATGAATAGGCACTGGTTTTTCTGGATGATTGTTTTTTATATCTGTCCTATGATTGTTCATTCTTGTTCTAAAACTGGTGGTGGTAAGTCCAATGTATTGCGATGGGCAATGGTTGCATTGAAGTTGATATACAACATTTTTCGTGGAGCATGTATTGTGTCCTTTAATTTTGAAGGTTTCTCCTGTTGATGTGCTTGTAAATGTTGTGCTGGGCCTATTAATGTGGCAGGTTTTGCATCTTGCCAAAAATGTTGTATATCAACTTCAATGCAACCATTGCCCATCTCAATACATTGGACTTACCACCACCAGTTTTAGAACAAGAATGAACAATCATAGGACAGATATAAAAAACAATCATCCAGAAAAACCAGTGCCTATTCATGCTACCAGCCACAATATGCAAGATTTAAACAGTTGTTTCAATTCAAAAATAATAAGATCTTTCCCTCCCACCTGTAACCCATCACAACTAAGGAGATGGGAACTCTCTTATCAATGGTTCACCAAATCCAGGGAGCCCCCAAACCTCAATCTCAGATAGGCCTAACATTTTTCTTTCCCCTTCCACACCTAAAAAGCAGGCTTAGACTAAGTGTAAATAAAATCAATGACTCATAACCTGTAAATATTCATTTGTAAATTCATAGTGTGTTGGCAACACTGCTTCCTTACCAGTGAAAGACTCTTAATATCTAATGTGACTCTCCATGTTGAGAAAGGGGCCAGTGGCCTCGAAATATCCAATGTTTATTTTGTTTGTTTGTGTTTTCTTCTGTGTTCTGTAGTGAATGAAGTGGGATGCCTACATTTTTTAAGGTAAGCCTGCTTATCCTATCCTTTCTCACACCTATTCTCAGGCAATTAGCCCTTTCTCTCCAAACCTTTTACAAATTAAGTAAGACTTTTCATAAACAACGACCATAGAATCTGAATCTACTGTAGAATGGGTGTTTCTTTGCTATGTTTTTTATCTGCGTGCAGCTGGTGGCAAAAGCACCAATAAAGTGCTTCGTGATTTCTACACTACCGCGGCCAGCCAGACAGGATGACAAGAATGATTACAAGCTAAAATATTCACACGTTTCAGCCTTACTGCACAGTTATATGGCTATAGTAACTTTTGGATTAACACATTAGCTATCAACTATCCTCATCCCTCAGTTACAGAGGAGTGTGATGGTCGGTAGGGAACTTGTTAACAATTGAATTAGGAGCAGTCTTCAATCAAAAACACAACAGAAACAAATGTATCTGGAAAGTTACAAAATAATATTCTTTTGGCAAGGATTGGCATTTTAGGGGCTGGTTAAGCCCTGTTTAAACAAATCAGTTGGTGAGCAGGTTAATACTTGTCTCAAGTAACTTGAAATACGCTAGAGGCAGGTAACTTGCCTTGTGTTAACGCGGCTTTTGAAATTAAAGGTTTTTATTGTACAGAAATAAGCTTCACTCAATAGTAATACAAAGAAATAAATAGGTGTTTCCTCAGTCACAGGTATTGGTAAGGTACAAATAACAAAAGTATTCCTGTGTTACTGTTAAGTGAAGCTCACACTTCACTCAAATTAAAAGGCTATTAACATCCAAACCTTGAATACAAAAAAATGACATTAAACACAATACCTTCTGCTTTTGTAAATGCTCCTTCCGCCTCATTTTTCGACTCAACTTCATCTGTTGTTTCTGTTTCTTCACGTCTTTTAAGTGTTTCTGTGCTTGGTCTTGCAGCTTGAATTTCTTCCTCATCTTGACAGTAGCTCCGGGAGTTGCAGCCATACCGGCATATTCCGGCTGAGGTTGGTCTTTGTTGGAGTTGTTGATTTCTCTTTTAAACTTTTTATTCTTTTTTGAGACCGTCTCCCCTCCATCTTCATCAGGTTTGTAGTCTTTGGACAAAGGGTTTCTTTGTTGACTCTTCAGTTGCCTCTTTGTTTTGACGTTGAGCACAGTTTTGTTTTCTATTGAAAACGACACTATTGGTCTCTGAAAATGGTTTGCAATGATTTTACAATGTTTGATGGACACATTTTGTGAAAAGACACAATATGACATTAAGAACCAAGGAGTTTTCAGGGATGCTTACCCAAGAAAATTATAAAATAGGGTCAAATAGACATAAAAATAGGTTTCCATGTATATACATTTACGGCACCCTGTTACCTGTAGTTACTTAGTTTTATTTCAACTGTGTTTTCTTATAGCATTTTGCATTTAATCAACTGGAAATTATTTATTGCTCTTCCACAATTATAATTTTTTAGCTTCTCTGACTGTTCAAAAGCAGCTAGATCCAGTGGATTTATAGATGTACACACTAGTATCTATATATTAATAGGCATTTAAATAAACAATCAACAACAAATGAACATTTTTATAAGCATCAATGATTGGTCCACTGCCGGCGCAGCAAGCAATCTGCTTAAGTTATATCTTATCAATGTCTTATGAATGTTACCTACTTGTGTTGGGTTGAAGATACTAGGATTGTTGTTGATAGATCTAAGGGCCTTCAAGGCATCTTCATGCTTCTCAAAAGCAACAAAGCCATAGCCCTTGGAAACAGGTCTCCCCTTTGCATCGGACTGATTTAAATCTCTCATCACTCTTGCCTACAAAAAATAACAATGAAATGAAATGAAATGAAATACTTTATTGTCGTTAAAACTGAGTACAAAGTTCATGACAATCGTCAAAAGAAAATGAAAACAATCAAGATGGCAACTAAAACAAAAACTCTAAACCAAAGTACTCTTCATGTTTATACAGGCAAGCCTGGGTTAGAGTAGTTTTTAAAACATGTTTAAATTTTGAAACACACAGGTTTTTTATGGATGCAGGCAAGAAATTGTACATTTTAACACCTTGGTACTCAAAACTATTTTGAGTGGCTGTATACTTATGCCTTAGTGTAGACAGATTATCTTTAGATCTAGTACAATAGTTGTGAACATCAGATATCTTTTAAAGTGAGAAATGTTTTCTTTTACATACAACAAACTTGCCAAAACATACAAGGATGGAAATGAGAGAATGTTAAGACTCACGAAAAGGGGCTTACAATGTGTTCTTCTATTCACACTACAAATTAACCTCACCGCCTTCTTTTGTAAAGTAAAAAGCAACCTGTTAGCATAAAAACTGTTGGCCCACAGTGAGGTACCATAGGACAAATAGCTATGAATGTGGCCATAATATATACAAATAAGGACATCATCTGAAACAGTGGACCTAAGTGCTCTTATCATAAATATGCCTTTTACAATTTTAGATGCTACAAAATCTACATGTGAAAACCACTTCAAGTTTGACTGCAAATGAAAACCCAAAAACTTCAGAGTGTTTACATCATTACCGTTACTGCTTAGACTAATAGTCAGGTCCTGAGTCTTATCAGCATTAAGACATAACTTGTTTGCATTACAACAGTCATTAATAACAGCAGATTTTGTGTCCAATGTGTCTGTAACATCATTCAAAGAGTACACACAAGGCCAAGTCATCAGCAAAAAGAAAGCTTTTTACAGATAAGTCATTAATATTACAAGGTAAGTCATTTATATACAGTATAAACAGGGTAGGGCCCAATATAGAGCCTTGGGGCACTCCGTGGGGCACTCAAACAGGGCTAGAATAAGTGCCATTTAGATAGACTTTTTGCCATCCGTCACTAAGATAAGATTGAAAAAACCTAACCAAAACAGCATCAAGGTTATAGCAAGAAAGCTTATTCACAAGGAGATCATGAGCCACTGTGTCAAAGGCCTTAGACATGTCGTACGATCTGAACACTATACCACTTTTGGCCTCTAAACTTTGAAAGCAATTTGATATCAGTGCCTGGGTTGCTTGGACAGTGCTGTGTTTGGGCCTAAAGCCAAACTGACTACTTGCTAAAAGGTTACTATCCTCAAGATACTGAGAAAATCTACGATGTACGAGATGTTCCAAGACCTTTGACACTGCAGGGATAATAGATATAGGCCTATAGTTAGCAATGACATTTTTAGGCCCTTTTTTATGGACTGGTATAACCTTAGAAATCTTGAACTTGTTTGGGTAGCAGCCTTGTGTTATACAAAGATTAAATAGGTAAGTCAAAACTTCACTTATGTAACTAGAAGCTAACTTCAAGATGGGTACATTAATTCCGTAAATATCTAAACAAGAGCTATTGTTAAGACTGTTGATGGCTGCATACACCTCTTCTACAGTAAATAGTCCAATCCTAAAAGCATTGTTGTCCTCAATAGTCGGAAGAGCGTTGCAAGAGGTCAAATTTCTTAGAAATTGCTCAGGACCATTTGAAGAGGCGGGAACATTACTTCTTAGGTTTTCAACACAGTCGACAAAGTAGGAGTTCAGTCCATCGGCAGTTAGGCAGTCAGGAATAGACAAAGGCTTACTATTACAGTTGCTTATTTCATTAATGATTGACCAGGATGTTTTAGAAATATTACTAGAGTTTAGCAGTAAACTGTTGTTATGGTCAAGTTTGGCTTTCTTGATTTCTTTGCGGTACTGCAACTTTAATGAGTTGTACTTAGTTTTAACTTCAGCAGTCCCTGCATTACAACACAAAAAATATAGCCGGTCCAGCTCATTTTTCATATTTACAAGTCCTTGATGATACCACCTTTTGTTAGGTTTGTTGTTAAAACCGACAGTAGTTTTCAAGGGAATCGAACCATTTAAGGCCCACAACAGTTTGTCAAAAAACACTTTGAATTTAGCATTTAAGTCTAGGCTATGGTCATATAATTCAAACCAATTCAACTGACTAAGGTTGGATAAGAATTTTAAGGAATTCTGAGGATTTAATTTCCTAGTAACTTTTCTCGGTAAAGAAATTGGATTAGATTTAGAATATGACTCGATGTTCATTGACAGAAAGGCTGCATTATGATCTGAGACAGGAGTGTGTATAACTGAGGCTTCCCATCTATCTGGGTGTACTGAGGTCACAATATTGTCCAAGCAGGTACCTTTGTTTACACTTCCAGCTGCGACATTAGGCCTAGTGATTTCATTAATTGCAGTGTGAAGACCAAAACAATAGAACTATGTGATAAAAAAAATATTGCTTGGTTTTAGTCTATCAGATGAATTAGAATTTTTTAAGTCATCTCAGAAGCCAGCAATAATTAATGGAAAGAGCTGTAAATAATTATCACCTTCAGTTGATCAGATATAACTAAGGCAACACTAAATAAACAGGCCGTAATGCTCCTCTGGCATGACGTCATTTTAGGCGACGGTAATGAGGCAATGTCATTTTTTTAGTTATATTTTTATTTCCCAAGAAAATATTAAAACAAGCAGCTGATCACAAACGGCAAACATTACGTCATTGGCGTCGCCTATGATGACGTCATGGCAGACGAGCATTACAGCTTGTTTATTTAGTGTTGCCTTGGTATAACCCTCTAGAGCAGGGGTCTCCAACCTAAAACCCGCAGACCACATTTGGCCAGCAAGAAATTTTATACGGCCTGCAGAAAGTACCCAGGCTAACAGGGAAAAATCTTTTTGATACCAAACACAGATGATCTTCTCCCGTGATCACGTTAACACCTTTTTCTGGCGGTCTTGGCGATATCTTGATCGTTTCAAGCGATCGCGGGAATACTTGTTGCCATATCTTGCTGTCTCAGCAAAACCAAGATAATATCCCATGATGAAGGCAACACTCGTAAGCATATATTGAGACCTCAGCAGTACCGCGATCATGGCGACACTCGCTGGTGGTGATTGCAATTCCCTTACGACGTTAAAACGAGAACCAATGGAACTCTGTCAATAAACGGAGGCTCGGCTATGAGAATTCTTCAACTTTGGTACCTGCTGTTAACTATGTCGTGCTAAAGTATTGAGATACTGAGCTTCCTACCCCAATGATGCACATTTTTTTCATCTGTCGTCTGATGATGGTACTAGTGTTAGATTTTAACTTACTTACTTTGTCATGCAGGAACTATTGAATACGTTAATTTACAAACAGCCCTTGTGTTTGAGTTTATAAACATCCGTTCAAAATTCTCATTAGTACTGTTAAAATTACCTCTCGAATAACAGCAGTGGGACCAGCGTGTTTCTGAAATATCCTCCGTAACTGTCTATCAGCTACTCCAAGGGGTAGGTTGTGGATGACCAGACGATTTCTGGACACTAACATGTTGAGGTTCCTCAGTTTGGTGGTCTTCCACTGCTCCAGCTGTAGTCGCTTCTCCATGTCTCCCACTGACACACCCTTAGCTGCAGGTGTGCCTGCTACAATCACTACAACAACACAATCAACATGTGAGACACACCAACAAGTTGAGATTTCTGGACACTAACATGTTGAGGTTCCTCAGTTTGGTGCTCTTCCACTGCTCCAGCTGTAGTCGCTTCTCCATGTCTCCCACAGATACACCCTTAGCTGCAGGTGTGCCTGCTACAATCACTACAACAACACAATCAACATGTGAGACACACCAACAAGTTGAGATTTCTGGACACTAACATGTTGAGGTTCCTCAGTTTGGTGCTCTTCCACTGCTCCAGCTGTAGTCGCTTCTCCATGTCTCCCACAGATACACCCTTAGCTGCAGGTGTGCCTGCTACAATCACTACAACAACACAATCAACATGTGAGACACACCAACAAGTTGAGATTTCTGAGCTTGGTGCTTTACCCTGGCTCTAGATATAGTAAATCTGTGTTGGTTGATTCCATCTAATTGCATAATATGCTTTAAAAAAAGAGACTAGGAAATCACTTTTGAAAGACGACTAAAATCAATTTTCTGTCTACAGTAATACAAATACTTACTTCCTTCCTTGACCAAATATAGATTTCTATTATCTTTTTTATCCTTTGATTTATCATTTATGTTCTGTATATCAGATCTCTTGAGGGCAGGGTGAGGATCAAGGATGGAACCATTTAGTTTTAATTCTGTTCCTGCAGCTAAACACTTTTCTGCATCTTCTTTGTTCTAAAAAAAAAAAAAAATAAATCAACAAAATTACCTTTTTAAATTCGGCCATATTTTCAAGTTTCCAATGAATTTAAGGCCCGATTTCACCAAACATTTAAACCGCCGTTAAGCCTTGCTCTAACTGCAGTTAGCTCTTAACTGACGAAATTGGATTTCACCCCTCCCCGTTAGCGCTAGTTTAGACTAAACCGTCGTTCGATAATTAACTGCCCAATTTTGACCGGTTAACTTCTTTAATCTTTCGTTAAGTAAATATCAGCCGGCTTTAAGTTTATATGGAAAGGCCAAAAACTAGAAGAGCGTACGATACGAGTTAGCTTTTGAAAGTGATAGTGATGAAGAGTAGCCTATGTTGTTCGCCGAACTAGGTGGATAAGAGAAAAGTTAATGATTTAACTAAGACAAGAATGATTACTAGATATGAATTATTAAAATGTTTTGCCTTTTTCTTTAGGTTATCCCACGAGGTTTTTAGTAAAGGCATATCTCTAGGTATGTGATCAGCCACTCTTTTATTTTACACCGATTCTTTTATCCCGGTTGAAAAAGTGTTTTTCTACCTACATTATCAAATCCCTTTTTTCTTTGTTCGACAAAATTGGCTCCCTTTTCCTTTTGAGTAACCCAAACCCTACGGTCAAATAATTAATTTAGTTCGGTCAGACGTAATTAATGACAATAACTAAACCTAAATTGTCATTATTCTGCTAGTATTTATAGAAAATCATTATTTTATGGTATCTTTATTATGTCTTGTTCTTAACTCTTTTTGCCTCAAGTTTTCTCACAATTTCAAATGTACCGTACTGTAAAGGTTAGATTGAGTCTTGACTCAACACTCAAAAGCAAAACTCAATCCTCTGTTCCTCAATTGAATTTGTTTTATTGACATTTCTTTGCCTTTATTTACTCATGTTAATTGTTTAGCTGTTTATTCTTGTTTTCTGTTGTTATTTTGTTCTTGTTGCTCAGAATCCATTTATAGGCCTACTCTTGTAATCTTGCTGTCTCCAGTTTTGTTTTCACTACCTCATATAAACACCGATTTATTTTCTAGGTTATGTTTACTTATTGCTCCCAGCCCGGTATTATGACAGTTTTTACTGCCACCGCCACCTGGATTTTACTCTAAACTCTCGTTTATAAAATCAGTGTTAGTTTTGACGCGTTTTTGCTGGTGAAACCAGATTTCCTTAACTGTGGTTTAAATCATCAGTTAGTTTTACCAAAGTTTAACTAAACCATCGTTAGCGCGAATTTGGTGAAATCGGGCCTAAGTTAGATAAAGTAATTGTTGGGGTGGGTTACCTTGCTATTAGTGTGTTTGTGTTCAATCAACCATTTAGAGTAGTCATACTTTAAGCTTTAAGATTTGAACTTGACAGCAGCAAAATTCTTCATAATTATGTACATTTGAGTTCCTCAAAACGTTATTTGAAATTGAAATTATTATAGATTGATAATCACTAAGTAAATCAACACTGATTGAGTGATCTTTATTTCTTAGACATAGGTTGACAGATTTTGAACACCAATAAACTTTGAAAAATTGATTAACAAATGAAAATAAATAGTTCAAGTAAATTAATCTAAGTTCGCTAGGACCAACGAAATTGTGTGATAAAAATATTAGACTGAATTTTTATTTAAATCCATGTGTGTAGCCCCTGAGCTGTTGGACATAATGTAAGACTAAATTACTTACGTAATTCCCGTCACAGCTCAATAAAATATGTCAATTCAGGACATGTTTCGGTGTTAAAACACCATCGTCAGCTTCAGGTACATAGTGTAAAGTTGATCAGTTGTTAACATCGTCAGAAGAATAAATAAACACAGTACGGTCGGTCATCTTTGTTAGAACAGGCCTGTTTTTTAAATGTTTAATTGTTTTATGTATTTATTCGTGTCCGTACTGTGTTTATTTATTCTTCTGACGATGTTAACAACTGATCAACTCTACACTATGTACCTGAAGCTGACGATGGTGTTTTAACACCGAAACATGTCCTGAATTGACATATTTTATTGAGCTGTGACGGGAATTACGTAAGTAATTTAGTCTTACATGAATTTTTATTGTTAAAAGAATTTTAGCATGATTGAAAAGAGAAAACTGTATTCAATGAAATCAAAATTTAATTAGAAAAGTAAACAGTTACAATATTTAAATATCTGGCAGCTTAATTCATATCAACTTATTGAGGATAATGGATTTTTAATTGTAGAATAAAGGAGGAATAGCAGCTAGCTTACCTATGAAGAATTAGGTAACCACACAAAACCCAAAGACAGAAAAATTAAAAACACAATATTTCGTAACCAGGGGGGACTTTGTAAAATTTAGAGAAAGACAGTTCACTTCTAAGGTAATCTAACTGCTATCCCCTTTTATTTTACAATTAAAAATCCTGGCCTAGAGCCTTTCCTTGAATTAAACAAATCATATTGAATACAAAGGCACTTAAAAACATATTTCAAGGAATGATTCGAAAATTACTGAGCTTAAACAGATTTTTGAGGGAGGCTGAGCTGTCTTGCAATGCAAGGGATGACATATTTTCCTCTTCCTTAGCATTTTTGTTTATTACAGTATATAGTGTACCAGCTGTACCCGCGGGCTTTGCCCCGTTTAACTTCATAAGTTCGCATGGCTCAATCACGTCCTGGTTGAAGTTCGTTCGCTACGCTCACTCACCTTTAGGTTGGGGCTCGTTCGCTGCGCTCACTTGCCTTCAGGTTAGCTCGTTCGCTAACTCGCCTCCAGGTTGAAGTTTGTTCGCTACGCTCACTGACCTTTTGGTTGCAAATTAGCTGTTGTCATAAATAAAAAAATAATAATAGTGCTGCACCCTGTTGGTAAACCTATTAACCCTTTAATGCTATTGAACATCACAGAATCAAATTGTTTAGTTGAAACAGCTGTTAAGATTCTTTAATTCCATTTAAATATGAGTACTCATAAGGTTAACATGGGAAACTCCAGAGCCACTGGGGCGGAGCCCGAAAGCCCGATCAGAATAAAAACTACTTAGTTTTCCTATTTAATGCCCAAAGAATCGGTGTACCGAATTTCAGCCTCCTAGGTAAATGGGAAGTGGGAGAATTAGTGATGAGTCAGTGAGGGCTTTGCCTTTTATAAGTATAGATTTTCCTCAAACATTACACAACATTAAAAACAAATGCAAACCACACAATTTCCTTACCTTATATTTGACGAATCCTGACCCTTTGAAATGTTCTGTGAGTTTGTCTTTGCAAACAAGAGCATAAAAGGTTGGCCCAAACTTCTCCATGCACTCTTTGAACTCTTCGTCAGTGGCTGAGAATGGCAAGTTCTTGACAAACACAGTTTTTCCCTCGTCGACATCCTCTTTTCTCTGATATTTGATTTCCTCAGGCTCCTCTTTGATTTTATCGTCCTCTTCTTCTTCATCATCACTAGTTTCATCTCCATCATCATTGCCCTGTAAAGAAAAAATAAAAAAAGCTCTTTACTACTACTTTTATATATTTAAATATTGTATTTAAATATATTTACTCCTTGCAATGCTCTTTAATGAATTCTTTACAAATGTTGGTTGCCCCTAGGTTGGAAGAACTCTAGAAAATAAAAATATCAGACAGAGCTTTTGGCAGTGGAAGCTTGATGTTATAAAAAATATGTGTGGGCCCTGCAAAATATAAATATTCCCCAAAGGTCCTTAGGGGACGCCCTTGGTACTGTTATGGTTCTTCCAAAAATGTGATACCTTTAATGAGAGCAATTTACCAGTCTTAATTCTACACTGAATTTACTTGCTCACTACTACACTAGTGTTTAGTGTTGCACTTAAAAGGTGAATCTTTTGCAGTGGCTTATTATTTACTGAATTACCTTTTGTTTACCAACTAGATGCTATAGCATGTACTGAATTACCAAGGTTATTGAGAACTAAAAAGTGAGTAACAATTTGATTTATTGAGCAGTATTAAAGAATTACAATGACTTCGTTTGACAATTTCTGATTGTGTTGTGTAATATAAAATATGACCTTGAGTGACACAATCAGACTGAATTGATTTGTTTGAAAACGTTGAACGGATTTATCAAAGGGGAATATTTGGCGCGGTTTCACACCGATCTCGAAGGTGTCAACGGGAGAGTGGTATTTAATTGAATTTGAGATGACCAGTGCCAAGCAAGTCCTGTTCGTTGGCCAACGATGTAAATATGAAGGTCGATTCTCGAAGGTCAACTGATTAAACAGTATTGCGTTTAATCGTAGTATTTATTGGAACGTCGATTACTGTTTTATAGCTAATTTGGCACTTTGGCGGTTCATCTATATGCAAGCTGACACAATCCTCCGACAACACTTCCGGATTCAGCCGAACCAGCTACCTAATCCCTCCTTTGATATTAATTTGATTCCCCAGCTTTAAATACTGATTGTGACACTCTTTAACGAACTGTACCTTTAATAATGACTCTGTGCAAAATTAGAATACTATATCAAAATATTACAAAGCAACTCTAAATCCCCCTTTAAAAACAGTTTCATCTATTTATTTTTAATGCTATTTGATTATCACAGTCTAATAAATAAAGAGGATTGTTACAATATGAATGGATATGAAAATCAGCGAATTGGGATCGAACCGGGGAACATGTGCTTATTCTACATGAATTAACAAAACAAGACAGGAAAATTTACAAAGTATGCGACTCACTGAAATTTAAATATATAACAAATAAATAACACAAATTACTTACAGTTTGGACGTCCACAAATATAACACAAACAAAGGGGAAGGGATTGGGAAATTTAACTAGCCGGTATTCTACAAGACGCGATCAATTGAACTCGTGAAACGTTTGAGAAATTTTCAAATGGCGGACTGCGTTGGGCCGGTAACGAACTTTTGCACTTTTTGACAACGACACTGATTCTAATTTCCGATCGCGAGGCAATTATATCCCTTAGGGATATAGGCTGAACGACTTTAAGGAAATTTGAGATTGCCCGACCAAACGCCGCGAAATGAATTTAATTTTCACAAACGAAAGTGTTACCGAACTAGTTACGTTGAGATTTGGAGAGGGACTGTTACTACTGGAAACAAGTGACCATCCGACTAGACCTTATCCCCTCCACTTCTTTAGTGCGTGGTGCATTCTGGTCTATACTGATCTATTGTTCAAAACAGCTGACTGTTCTTCGCGTTAACTTGTATTGATTTGTTGCCTTTTACAACAAAATCGGTACAGCCCTCATCATCACTGAAATGAAATGAAATGAAAAAACATTTATTTACCCAGGCTTACACATGTAGGGCCACATGGCCCTTTCTTACACTTAACCTGTAAACTGCTGTTGCTGCAATTTAGTTGACAAAAGTTGTAATATAAAAGCTATTGATAGGATATAATGAATTCTGTGTCAAGTATGAAATAAATATGAATCAAGGTGCTAAGCTAGTAAACAATACACTGACAAAGATCATCAAACAATCAAGCAATTGAATATCTCTGCGGAACAACATTGCTTGAATATCTCTGCGGAACAACATTGCTAATGACATATTTTGTGTCTCCTACTGCGTGCGATATTTTGTACAATACAAACCGTTATCCTGAATAATAGCATCTCAACATCCTTGGAAAGGTATCAACCAACCCTTGGAGAACTAAATTCACACAAATTGAAAATATAAATTTTTGTCTAATTCAAATATACATCTGAAGTTGAGCCAATAAAGGTTGATTATTGGTCTTTGGGAGATGACCATGAATATACTCTCAATGGGCAAAACGACTGTCCGATGTTTTTGATACATTACAATAAGCCATCTTTTGAACAAACTAAGTGTAGAGTTTGAATTAACTGGCTTACTGCATTGCATTAAAAAAATAGGCCAGTATTTTCGCCTGTTTAACGTGATTTACTCTTGAAGACCATGACTCTACTGTACGCTTTGACCATGGCCTACCTACTGATTTAGGACTTTGACAGTTTACCTGTTTTCATCACTTTCGTCATCAGAATCCTTGTCAGACATTTTCTCTTCCTTTATGGTAACATCAACAGTCTCAATTGGTTTAGTCTCTTCATCACTATCCTCCTCTTTTTTGATTTCCTTTTTAACAGCTTCTTCTTGAAGTTGTTTGAACCTATCCTTCGACACAGCCCAATCAATAATAATTGGTCGGCCTAAATAAAAAACTTGTTAGTCTTGATTGAGATTGAAATAAAATATGCGAGGAAAAATACACTAGTCAAGTCATGACATTAAACCATGTTCATCCAAAAAGCTTATTTTATCCCGAAGGCTAGGGCCACACTTGGCAACTTTGTCGCGGCGTCAATGAATGAAAGTGCGTAGCATTAAATTAAATGGAGGCGGCCACACTAAGCGACTCGTGACCAGCGACCACCGGCGACAGAAAAATAAACGCAACCAGGAGCGTTTTTCGGTCGCGGCGACAAATATGCTACCCATGTTATCTTATGGCACCGGCCATACTAAGCGACAAGTCGCTCGCTCACACCCCCTTTGCTGCTCTATTTTCATATCTATATTGTTTAGTTTTGGACTGGCAATTGTTAAATATGGAAAATATGCTTTTAAAATACAAATATTTTTATCAACAAAATGAGTGTCGACATGTTAACATGTGTTCTGTAGCATATATGAGATTTAACTCTTCTGGTATAACAGGAATCCAAAACCTCGTGTGATTTTCAAATGTCGTGCGTCGTCTTCAATGTCATTAGCTCGCCAAAGCTATGCTCATAAAAAAATATAAACAATGTTGTTTCAGGTAATTCACTCCATACCTGTGGTTTCTCTTCCTTTTAGCGAATTTTCCATATAGGGAATAAGCTATTGCCTTAGGTTGCATGGTAGGACCTAAACCCGGGACCGACTTGTTTTTCGTTTTGAGGTCCCCAGAGGCAAAAACACCCTCCGTTCAAATTCATATATGAGTACATATGTATCTATAAACATATTCAGTGTATATATTTTAGGTTTATATACCTATGTGCCCATTAGCGCGATAACTTGAGGAAAAATGATGAGATTTTAATGGAATTTGGTACTAATGTTTAAACCAACGTTAATTCAAACGAGCTCGCAAATCGGAATGATCAGACTATGAGAATGGGAGTTTAAGGGGCTTTAATGGGGTATAAAATTGGGTTTTTCTTATTTTTGACCCTAAAACATAAATTTCACAATTCCCTTCCAAACTGTTTTGTTAGCTAAAAAAATAAATAATTTTGTACATTTAAGCGTTGTTGTAAGCCTAAAGGTTACGGAGATAATTTAAACAATTGTAAATTTATAATGCCCGTTTTTAAAAGACTGGAGTGCAAACATTTCTGCTGCCTCACAGGGTTGACTCCCCTTGTATTATGTACTTGAGCGCCTTCATATGGGTCGCGAGGACAGTTGATGCAACCCGCATGACGGGACATAATGTTTTTGAAATAGGTACTAGTAGCGATCGGCCAAGTGCCAGCTTAGATGTCACGAGCTGTACCCATGATAAAAAACATTATGAACATTATAAAGGTTGTTGACAAGCTAATGGGAGAAAGTTTGTGTCAGATTGCTGATATCGTTAATTTTCTTACTCTTGTCGACACCAGCTTGGCAATTTTTACAGTTGGCACACTAGTGTGCGCTGACACGCTTTTAGGAAAAGAGCCCCAAACTCATATTTTTTTAAAGGATGTGCCGGGAATTGAACTTGTCTCTTCCTCACGAAAGTCTGAGAAGCTAACGCTGTTCCTAAGTAAAGCAAATAAAGAATTCAACCAACCTAAAAACTCCTTTCCGTTCAATTTCAATGCAGCCTTTGTGGCACTGAGTCTTGAAACGTACTCAACAAATCCACAGCCAACTAACTTTTCATCTGGTCTTCGGAGAAGTTGAATATCTTTGATATCTCCAAATGATTTAAAATGATTGTGGAGATCATCTTCATTGTACTGTAAGAAAACAAAAACTGTGATGATACAAAACTAGAACAAATACAAATTGAAACAATTAAAACTATCATTTGCATAATATGTTACTATCATACACAAACATTTGCAGTGTAAGCTATCGCAACTCTAAAGTTATTTTTCAGGCTATAAAAAGAAAGAAAGAAAACCAGAAGGATTGAGTGGAAAATTTATAACTAGAGGAAGTTAATCACTTACCTTAAATGGCAAATTTCTCACAATCAAGCGACCCCTCTTGCCAGTTGTTTCCTTCTTTCCAACCTTTCCATGTTTTATCTTCTTATTTTGGTTCTTAGAAAACTTATTGCTTTGGTTTTGAAATTTCCTCATCACAGTCATACCTACAAAAATTGAACAGAAATTGTAATAAGTCTTTACACAAAACTTTAAAGGGTTGGACCATTTTCCCTAAACGCGTATGAATTGCCTAAATCATTGCTCGATTTGTAAAAAATGAAGTGCAAGAATTGTATGTAACATATTTAATGTGATTTGTACCTATTTATGCCAATATTTTTATCTTTCCGAAAGGGAGGTCCGGAACTCCATTCTGCCGCGTTCCCCTGCAAATCGAGCACTGGTCTTAGTTATAAAAATGCCATCTGGCGAAGCCACAAGGTCTGTGACACAAGCAAACAAAAGTTCTGTCACTCAAGCTGACCTCAAATGTTTAGAGGCCACTCAAATATGTAGACTCGTCTGGATCGGATGCAGTTTCTTAGCTGGGCTACCTTAAAATATGGCTTGAAAATATCAATTCGATTAATAAACCTTCATTTGATGTTTTCATGATCAGCAAGTTTGGTTAGGTTCAAAGATTAGATAAGAACAGTTTCATTTTATAACTGATATAACTTATCCTTATACTAACCGTTAAAAATACAGTAGAACCTTGATAACAAGACTCTCATGGGAATTGTAAAATAAGACTTGTTATCAAGGTCGACTTGTTATCGAGGTTTGTAATAACATGTGATTAGGGGTAAAATCATTTTAAGGGGATTTGAAAATGACACTTGTTATCAAGGGCGACTTGTTATCGAGGGTCTTCTTATCAAGGTTCCACTGTAGGCCTACCATTTATTCATCGATCCATATTTTCAATCGATATTTGAGTAGGTAGCCCAGTTAAGAAACTGTACCCTTCAGATTACCATAAAAACTCCTTCGATTGTGCCCACATTTTCAAAATGTGGTTTAGAATGCGGGCACTTAGGTAGGGCTGATTCTGACAAAATCCACTAACATTTTCAGCGTGCTAAACCATAAGACTAGGATAATTATTTTCATTTTAATATAAAAATATAGGCCGGGTACACTTCCATATCTGTTGGCACAAACAACCGAATGAAAATATCGATCGATATATCGATTATTCGATACGTCGTTTGGTTAGATAGGTAAGGTTAACCTGACCTAACTAACCAAACGATATATCAAATTAAATAATCGAATAATCAATATTACTCATTCGGTTGTTTGTGCCAACAGATATGGAAGTGTACCCTATAGGCCTATTAAACAAGTCTTTTAAAGACATGCGGCCAGCAAAATGCTGGTTGAACTTTAAGGCAGATAGAACACTTCTTCATACCAAAGACATGTGATGCAATACGTTAGGCTAGAAATCGCAAAAGTTAAACTGTAACTTAAAATCGAGGCCAGGTTGAATAGGCCTAAGCTAAGTTATCTTATAACTTAGGTTAATTGATTCGGTAGGCCTACTTGTTATAATATCAATTAGGCTGTCTAAGTTGTTTATGATACAGATCGAACAGCCACTTTAGCCACTTTGTACCAATTTGGAACCGGACGACAAAATACAGAAAGATGAGTATTGTTTACAGATGGACTGAGAAGGCCTAGTCTAGGTTCTGTATTTTTGCTGATATTCACTTATATATTTACTACTAATCAAATAAATAACCGCTCTGGTTTTAGGGACTAGCCTTCTGTAGATTAATTTGTCTACATTTTAATACCTAATATTTAAATTAGGCCTACTCGAATAAAGATTTTTGCCCCAAGCATAGGCAAAGTTTAAGTAATGATTAGCAATCACTGGGTTCCTATTAGGCCTACAGTGATAGACCTAGGTTAGGTAGATTGAAGAATTTACTTTTTTTTTAATATGGGCTAATTACACTTTCTATTAACAAGCTCTGCCTTTGGAGCCCCATATGACAGAGCTATAAGTAGGCTAGTCCAAGTAACTGGTCTACTAATTTTTGGATGTTTAGTGTTAATTGAGGTTAATTAACAACTAGCCTTAGACGGTAGTTGTTTAGGACACCTACTTCACCTTAAACTTTATAAATCTTTTAAACTTAACTTATCGTACCGGTAAGTATAAAGTCTACTAACTTAAGGCCAAGGGTGCGCTCTTGCTCTTCCTCAGCTCGGCTATCTCAGTCATAATCTCATTTGATTTCTCACTCAATACGAAGTTGCTGAACGCCGAATTCCCTATAACTTACCGTTACCATTGCATTGAACAGCGCCATGAAGAGCGCTTGCAAGCCTTTCGAATCTGGGTGATTACATTATTATTCTTAAAGTTTTTAATAAAATAGTGCAGATTCTTGTTTTTAAGAATCATCAATTGCATTTACCCTGTTCGTTATTTTTTCTCTAAAAATTATTTTTAGGTTATGGGTTATTTAGGAGAATTGAGGGGAAGTTCCCCCACCACTTTTTTTGTATTTAACGTATGTTAATTAATCAGCTGTTGAGCTATTATTTGAAATCTAAGTGTCAAGTGGAGGGGATGGGTTTCTTCCCCTAAAACCGTCTAGGTAGTACAGGTAAAATAGGGTTTTATAAACAACAAAATTTGTACATTCATGAAATTTCACCTGTGAGTTACTAATAATATTAGAAATGAAGATCCGATGAGTCCCCAAAATTTTGGGCGTCCTAAGGCCCTTTTTGGGGCCCTTTTTGTTCCGAAGGGCCCTTGTTCCTGAATAATTTTGTTTTTACGTTTAAGGTCGAGTGAGGTGTGGTTTTCGATGGTTTTAGTTATTTTAAATCAATTGGGAGTAGTAGTTTTAAGTGTACTAAACCGCATCATACAGGGTGTTTCGAAATATTATTACTTTTTAAGATATTTAAACATGTATTCATAAAGTATAAAAATTAGTTACCTCCATACTCTATATAAAAGGGGATTATTGAAAATAATTGTAATTCTTTACTACGTAAGGGGAAAGGATCACAAGGAGTAAGAGAAAATAATAGCAAACCTGCACTGCCCTGCTAAGCACAGTTGTGGTAACTGACATTTTTGGGGAAAATGAGATAAGGTTACCATGGGATTCTACACATACTTAGGATCATATATATAGCCTTAAATGCCATATATGTTGTTGTATTTATTTATAAAATGCTTATTTTCTTTGCCGTATCTGCAGTTTAGGAATGTTTTACCATAGACAAAAAGAAAGAAATAGTTTTACTAAGCGCAGTTGTTGTAACTTACATTTACTAGGGTATTTAAGTTGTATCCAACGACAGATACAACGATTTCTCTTAGGAATGATATGTTACCACAAAATGCTTTAGCAATCCATCAGTTACGGCAATTTAGTTTAGCATCATCCCCATTATTGGCCCAGTATTCCTATATGTGCCGTGTTGTTGGAAACAAAGCTTTTGTCTCTTTGAATTGAGGCGACCTATTATTATCAAATAATGAATTTAATTTCCTTTATATTGACATTCCACTTGGTGATATTGATAATAGTATATTTTTGACATCAACATTTTAACAGAGTTTCTTGTAGGCCTATTAAATGATGAACCTTTCTTTAGAAGAGGTCATTAATTCTGCCAATAATTTAAGCCTAATAAATGAAGCTGTAAGTTAAAGTTTTTACCGGCCAATCTGATGAAATAAATTATGACTTGAGAGAAGGGGTATCTAAATTCAGATAATGTAGGATTGATAAATGAAATTGAGATTTTAACAGGTCAATCTGATGATATTAATGAAGATGTACCTACTTATGGAAATTACTCATAACAAAAACGTCCCAAAAAGTTGGTAACATATTTTTTTACAACCTTGGGCTATAACAAAACCAATGATAGGATTATTCAAGATATGTCTAAGGAAAATGGTGTCTCACTAAAACCTGATGGGAGGAAAGGATGAGTTCCCCAAAACAAGATTGACGGAACTTCGATTGTTGATCCCCAATGACCATAAAAATTGTCAAAAGCTGTATTACAATAATTGTTTTACAACCATTAAAAAGCATTTTGATTTAAACTTCATATTACACAACAATTTTAATATAAGATTGGAACTATCTTTAAATTGTTTAACAATCAGTATTATGCAGTATACAAAATAACTTTTAATACGAGTTGTAACTATTTTAAAACAATTTAAAATTGTTTTATTCTTATTAGTTTTGTTATAAAGAATTTTAAAACAATTTTCCAAACAATATTTAAATTGTTTACAAAAGTACTGGTATTTAACAGTTGTTTGTGTAGGCCTAGTTCTTAAAAAAAAGTTTCAACAATTTAAAAATAAATTTTTTTTAACAATTTTTAAATTGTTTACAAAACTATTAGTCAATAGTTTGTGTAGTTCTTAAAAACAAGTTTCAACAATGTTGAAATTAATGTTTAATTTGTTTGATTACATATGAGATGTTTAATCTTAATTAATGGGTTTTATCCCTGTTTTGGAAATTTTTTAAGTCGCCTGCATTTAATTTGGATTATATATACGAACTAAATACGTTTTATCATTCATGTTTATATAACAGCTTAATGCTTTAAAAATTTTGTTTGAAAATGAAATGAAGTAATTGGAAAAGTATTAAAATAAAAAAAAATATGTTTATCATTATTGTACAGTTAAAGCATGGTAGTTAATAAATTCTTCTTATAAAGCTTTTTTTTATATATTACAATTGTTTATAATTTAATACCAGTTATGTACAAACCTACATGAATTAACATACATATATGGAGTGTCGTGTGCTTCTATTATAAATACAGTATTGAATTACTTGAATAGAAGTTCATAATGCATAAGTTATCGACTTTTGTGATAAGTTACCGATAACGTTGTGATAGTTCCGATACTAGATACAGTGATAGAACACCTGCTTAACATAAAATAATAATTAATAAAAAATAAATTTTTGTTATATTTTAATTTTCTAACTTATTTGAGAAAACTTTTAGTAGGTAGTTGAACAATTTAAGGGGGAAGATTAATTAATCATATAACAATTATTATAATAACATCACTAATGGTATAATTCATATATATTTAAATACCAGTATGTATCCTCTCCAACTCCCAGAAAAACAATTCAACAACTTGTTGCCAAAAGATAATCATAGTGTCAAAAATATTTCAATCTAGACATTTTGTTTATTTTGGGAACCTTATATTTTGTTGCATTTGAAACAATAACCATGATTTTGCTAGACCAGTTCGTGGCATCTGCAGAGATACAACATATTGGCTTAGGAAAATTAAGTTGCCACTATATGGCCAAGTATATTTAATTGTAATTGATAAGAACTAAAGCATTATCTAATTTCTTAAGTATTTAGAATGTTTTAATGTTGAAAATAATTTTGGAAAAAGATTTAGCGTTAAAAAATACATAAGATGAGACCAAAAAAATGTTTTTAAGTCAATTTTTGACTGTAGGGCATAGTTTTAAATATACTACCCTCATTTTCTCAATTTTACCCAGATGTCAGTTACCACAACTGTGCTTAGCAGGGCAGTGCAGACCTAGCGAATTTCCGTTTTACTTACAGTACTTGATTTTCAATTAAATCTAAAATAGCATTGCGTTTAACGATTACCTAGTTTTGCTGCTACAAGGAGGCTAATAAAGTGTGTTTATAGTAAAATATTATTAGCCTAGTATAAAACAAATAAATTTGATAAGTTTGATAAAAATATATCTATTAACAAACAAACAAAATCATTTTACACTATTCTACATAAGAATAACATGGGAATTTTAAATTTACAATTTCAGTATTTATATCCGTAACTAATAACCATACAAAAACACGTTAATATACTAAATTATTTGTTTTTAAGCTATTTAAAATGTTCTATTGAAAAATTGAGAAACTTTGTGTTTTGATGGTAAAGTAAATAAGAAAACAAGATTTTTACCCCATAAACCTTGTTCCCATTGTTCAGGAGAAAAATGCTTGTACCGACAATGCTGCTCTGATGTCTTAGTGCTGTCCTGGTCGTCATAACCACAAAAGATAACCGTACTTGTATTGATTGAAAATAAGTTTGAGGAACTTAAGATACAAGTTGCAAACGTCAGTATGTATGAAAGGTGTTTTTGCACCACATTGTTCGTGCTTCAAGATTGGTGTTGCCTGTTCTGCAATATGCAAGGTTTTAGGTTTGTAAAGGGGAATCCTGCTTGAAAACCAACTTGGACAAAATTAGTAAAGATGGACAAGTTGCTAAGAATAATAAAATTTTTAATGAGTCGTCTGAGAATAATTATTCTGATGATGAAATTGTAAGGAGAGATACTACGGAAATTATAGAAAAATAGCTTAAGTTTAAGTACTTCATTTTAATATGTAATTTAAGGTTTTATACAAATACAATTGTTTTAATTTTTAACTAGGTGGCGTTCGCAGAGGCATCCACAAAATTGAGCGGAGGGTCATCAAGGGTCGATATTATATTGTTTTTGTAATACTGCAGTAAAAACAATCGCATGTAGCAGTAAAAGTAGCATTTTTACTCTTTAGGGAGTAAAAATCGTTTTTAGCCTCTATGGAGTAAAAATCAGCTGTTTTCAACTTATTTGTAAATGTCTATTGTAAACTATTGCATGTATCAAAATATGTATCGATTCGTGTTTCGTAATAGTTTTAACCTACAGTCTACAGTCTCTTCCCATAGCATTTTAGAATTGTGGTTAAATTAATCCATTCCCACACTCAACACTGCTCACCTTTACTACTTCCTTCACCACCCCTGCACGTGGACATGTTTTCCCCTCTTCCCATAGCCTTTAAGGATTACAGATACATTAATTTAATTGTCAAAAACCGTTTTCACACTCTGCACTGCTAACCTTACTACTTCATTCGCCATTTCCAACGACATAGGCCTGTTTCCTTCCCTTCTCATAACATTTAAGTATTAGATACACTAGCTGTTACCCACGGGCTCCACCCCGTTTACTACATAAGTATTAATAAAACTATTGATAGGTTAAGTTAAGCTGAAATAAACAAAGCAGAATACAGTAATGGTAATACAAACAAATAATAACAGCTGAGGTATTTTTAACATTAGTTAAATGGAAAGTTCCCTTTGGAAAGCAATTACGACCTTAAAGGGCAATTTATGAAATAATGGATAATTTTGCGCAAGGTTTCTCGTCATGACGAACATGTTAAGTATATATGGTTTATGGGGGTGTGACATGTAGTTTTCTCAAAAGTTCATGGGTACTTTTGGCTTTATATATAGATTTATCGAACTGCCCCAACGGTTCCCCCACTCTACACTGCCAGCCTTTACTACTTCTTTCACCACTTCCTACGTCGAGGGGCCTCTTTCCATGCCTTCTCATAGCATTTTAGGATTGAAGATACATTAATCTAACTGCCACAGACGGTTCCCACACTATGCTCATACTTTACTATTTCCTAAGCCATTTCCTCCATCGTGTACCTGTTTTCATCTCTTTCCATAGCATTTTGGTATTTTTAATACATTAATCTAATTGCCACAAACATTGACCACACTCCGCACTGCTAACCTTTACTACTTCTTTCACCATTTTCTATGTCGTGGACATGTATCCATCCCTTCTCATAGCATTTTAGCATTGCAGGTACATTAATCTAACTGCTACACACGGTTTCCAGTTCCCACACTCCACACTGTTCACCTTACTGCTTCCTTCACCTCTTCTTACGACGCGGACCTATTTCCCTCTCTTTCCATAGAATTTAAGATTGTAGGTACCTTAATCTAATCGTCATAAACAGTTCCCACACCCCGGACAGCTCGCCTTGACTACTTTCTTCACCACTTCCTACGTCTCGGACCTGTTTCCCTCCCTTTCTGTAGCATTTTAGGATTGCAGATAACTTAATCTAATCGTCATAAGCAGTTCCCACACTCCGGACAGCTCGCCTTAACTACTTCCTTCACCACTTCCTACGTCACGGATCTGTTTCCCTCCCTTTCCATAGCATTTTAGGATTGCAGGTAAATTAATCTAACTGCTACAAACGGTTTATAGTTCCCACACTCCACACTGCTCACCTTACTACTTTCTTCACCTCTTCTTACGTCGCGGACCTGTTTCCCTCTCTTTTCATAGAATTTTAAGATTGTAGATACCTTAATATAATTGTCATAAACAGTTCCCACATTCTGGACAGCTCGCCTTTACTACTTCATTCACCACATCCTACGTCACGGACCTGTTTCCTTCCATTTCCATAGCGTTTTAGGATTGCAAATACCTTAATCTAATCGTCATAAACAGTTCCCACACTCCGGACAACTCGACTTTACTATTCCCTTCACCACTTCCTACGTCACGGACCTGTTTCCCTCCCTTTCCATAGCATTTTAGGATTGCAGATACTTAAATCTAATCGTCATAAACAGATCCCACACTCTGGACAACTTGCCTCTACTACTTCCTTCACCACATCCTACGTCACGGACCTGTTTCCCTCCATTTCCATAGCATTTTAGGACTGCAGATACCTTAATCTAATCGTCATAAACAGTTTCCACACTCCGGACAGCTCGCCTTGACTACTTCCTTCACCACTTCCTACTTTGCGGACCTATTTCCTCCCTTCCCATAGCATTTTAGGTTTGTAGATACTTTAATCTAATCGTCATAAACAGTTTCCACACTCCGGACAGCTCGCCTTAACTACTTCCTTCACCACTTCCTACGTCGAGGGCCTGTTTTCCTCCCTTTCCATAGCATTTTAGGATTGCCGGACAGCTCGCCTTGACTACTTCCTTCAGCACTTCCTACGTCGCGGGCCTGTTTTCCTCCCTTCCCATAGCTTTTTAGGATTGCAAATACCTTAATCTAATCGTCATAAACAGTTTCCACACTCCGGACAGCTTGCCTTGACTACTTCCTTCACCACTTCCTACGTCGCGGGCCTGTTTTCCTCCCTTCCCATAGCATTTTAGGATTGCAGATACCTAAATCTAATCGTCATAAACAGTTTCCACACTCCAGACTGCTCAACTTTACTGCTTCCTTCACCACTTCCTACGTCACGGACCTCAAGCTAGTGACGTCATTTGATTATATTTATGATGATCCATACCGTTTCTGTTCTAATATCTGTGGATTAATGCTATCAGCTATTTCTTTATCTACTGCATTCAAAAGTCAACAGCTGATCATATGTTTTTGTTTATGTGTCAAATACTGCTTCCATAAGGATTACATTGAAACTTTGAGACCCAGTGGGGCGGATTCCTGAGATATTTTTTTAACGCCATATAGATGTTGGCACTCACCGATATGGTCTTTACCACCATGCAAAATTTGAAAACGATTGATTCAGCCGTCTAGGAGGAGTTTGCGTATTACGAAATGCATAAGAGTCGACGTATAAGAGCTTCGCTCGCTTCGCTCGCTCCGCTCAATAAATGTAAAAAAAATAATTTAAATAACTACCCAAGAAAAATGCATATCAATTTGAAATTGGTCTTAATAGATTTGCATAAAAAACACCTTGAAAGATTATTCACACCACCTTAAAAGTTGAAATTTTTGCTTAGTAACCTATGTAATTATTTTATAGTGTAAAACTTAATGCATCCCCTTTTAGCGAACATCCCATACAGGAGATAAGCTATTACCGAAGGTCTTATGGTAAAACATAGACCCGAAACCGATTTACGTTTTCATTTCGATGCCCCCAGAAGCCTAAAGCACCATCCACTCAAAATATTATATATGTGTTTATATACATATATATAATATAATATATCCATGTTATATACGTGTCCGTAAACATGATAACTAGAGTAATTTTGGTTCAATTTTAACGAAACCCGCATAATCGGTCCATGGAATAGTGTTTTATGTGGTAAACATTTTTAATCTTTGACCCTCAAAAGACAAAGTTTCCCAATTTTTCTCTAGAGCATTTTAAAGAGCTTAAAGAAAACAAATAATTTAGTATATTAACGTGTTTTAAGTGTATTAGTTACGAATAAAATTCAAAAATTGTGAATTTAAAATTCCATGTTATTCTTAAGGAGAATAGTGTAAAATGATTTTGTTTGTTTGTTTATTGATATGTAAAATACTACTTGTCAAATGTATTTGTTTTTTACTAGGCTATTAATATTTTACTATAAACACACTTTATTAGCCTCCTTGTAGCAACAAACCTAAGTATTCATTAAACTCAATGCTATTTTAGATTTAATTGAAAATCGGGCAAATGAAAATTCGCGTAGTCTGCAGGTTTGCTGTGACTGGGGTATTTAATATTTTCTCTTACTCCTTGTGATCCTTCCCTCTTATATATAGTAACCCGTCTTATATCCCTTTTATAAAGAATTACAGTCATTTTCAATAATCCCATTTTATATAGAGCATGGAGGTAACTAATTTTATCACTTTATCAATAAATGTTTAAATTACGTAAAAAGTAATAATATTTCGAAACACCCTGTATGGAGTGGTTTAATACACTTAAAACTAGTCCCAATCGATTTAAAATAACTAAAACCACACCTCACTCGACCTTAAACGTAAAAACAAAATTATTCAGGAACAAGGGCCCTTCGGAACAAAAAGGGCCCCAAAAAGGGCCTTAGGACGCCCAAAATTTTGGGGACTCATCGGATCTCCATTTCTCATATTATTAGTAACTAACAGGTGAAATTTCATGAATGTACAAATTTTGTTGTTTATATGGAGTGTTTTTGTATTATTTTACCTGTACTAGTGATGGGATAACCGAATGGTTTCCATGACCGAATAATCAATCAGTTATTTTTTGCGTCAATCGGTTATTTTTAGTTGAATGAATCACCGAATCAATTTTAGTCATTATTAACTGTCACAAACCACAACTAATTTTTATCTTATGGTAAACTGAATAGAATTTAGTCTTTTAGCGCCAATCGGTGATTTTTAGTCGAACGAATCGCCGAATAAATTTTAGTTACCTGATAATGTGACAAACTAAATCAACTAAATAACTAAATCAACGAATCGCACGGTAAGACTAATTTAACCGAACCAGGATAAAATAACCGAATTAGTCTATTCAGCATCAATAACCGATTGATTCGGTTATTTTCATTCGGTGATTCCCACCACTAACCTGTACTATATTGTGAAGGAAGTATAATAACCCTCATTTCTGGAAAATACTTTCTCATTAATCCACAATTCCCTCTGGACGTTCATGTTTGTATGGAATTCCATACTAGAAATTGAAGTAGGCCTATTGTTACCTTACTATGTGATCCCTTCAGTTAATTTCTTGTTTCATTTTACCAGGCAATGAAGTGGTAACACGTAACTGTCTGAGCTCTCTAAGGCCCGGTTCACACGAACGACATACCTAGCAGACTAGACTTGGACTAGGTAAGCACGACTGGGTAGCGGACCACAGGATCACACCGGTTCACACGAGCGACATGTCTACGGACTAGGTGAAAATATAGATACGTATCAAAACCACTCGGTTCCATCACTGGTGCACAATGAGAACAAAGGTAAGAATGCGAGCTGCAGCTCGACTACCCGATCGCTCGTGTGAACGCTCCCATAAGGCTACATGTACTGCTACGCAGTTCGACTGGGCGACTGGGTAGTTGCCACGACGGACTGGGAAACGGGGCCCGACTAGGTTTTGGGACATCAAGCTCGAACACGACTAGCTAGTCGGCGTCCTAGGCTCGTGTGAACGGCTCAATTTGATCCTGTGGTCCGCTACCCAGCCGTGCTTACCTAGTCCAAGCCTAGTCTGCTAGGTTTGTCGTTCGTGTGAACCGGGCCTAAGAGCTATCCGGACTGATATTCCCGCAGATCACTACGAGGGGTGCCGTAAGGCGGCCACTGACTTTAAGCTGGCTCACTACGTCAACAACTCCATCAAGGAGCTTGATATCAAACGGTAACTGAAGACTAGTACAGTATATGTATTTTTTACACTGAGTGACTTTTTGATTTATATGACATTTTTTATTCAAAATTAAAGCTATTTCATGTTTCTGTAGTACGTGACAATGGAAGTTTACCAAACTTGTAAAATTCATGTAGTTCATTGAATTTGTCGCCTTCATTAGTACCTTGAGTTATTTCTCTCACCCATCATACTCATCCCTGTAACAATCTGACCTAGGTTGTGTTTTCACCACTACAACGTGACAAAAAGTGTAAGCATTATCAATACATGTAATTGTTACTATTATACCTACATTAGAGTATAGGATAAAAACAAAAGGGTAGTTTAGTTTTTATCATCCCACACATCTACACTCATCCTTCACGGATATTTGGGTTAAAATATGCGCCTATGTGCCACCATCTAAACTAGTAATAAAATGATAATAATAGTAAATAAATAGTATTCAGTTACTAATGGATGGATCTCAAATCTCACATGAAACTCAACTTGCAGGTCGTAAATGTGTATTAAGAATTATTTTAAACTAGCTGGCCCAACAGACGTCGTCCTGTCCTAATGTGGTTTTATGTCAAATGCTCGTTCATTTTCAAGATGAGCTCGTTCGCATGGCTCAATCACGTCCTGGTTGAAGATCGTTCGCTACGCTCACTCACCTTTAGGTTGGAGCTCGTTCGCTGCGCTCACTTGCCTTCAGGTTAGCTCTTTCGCTACGCTAACTCGCCTCCAGATTGAAGTTCGTTTGCTACGCTCACTCACCTTTTGGTTACAAAATTAGCTCTTGTCATAAATTTAAAAGAATAATAGCGCTGCACCCTGTTGGTAAACCTATTAACTTTTTAATGCTATTGAACATCACAAAATCAAATTGTTTAGTTGAACCAGCTGTTAAGATTCTTTAATTCCAGATTCCATTTAAATATGAGTACTCATAAGGTTAACATGGGAAACTCCAGAGCCACTTGGGCGGAGCCCTTTTGACGGATCTGCACCAAACTTCACACAAACCATCCTTGAATAATGCCTGAAAGTTTCATTACAATCTGTCGAGCGGTTTCGGAGTCCATAAAGGACAAACATACATACATTGGATTTTCTGTCCTATGACCTTACTGGCCATAACGTTTCCATGGTAATCTAATGGATTGAAGTGTTATTCTATTAACAGCTTACAGCAATTACAAGTTAAAGTTATAAATTTAAGAAAACTTTCATACAACAAACAGATCAAGAAAGTGCAACCTCCAAAATTAGATTGAATCTCTAATAATAATTTGAGGAAATTCTGTGTTCTTCTAAATGTTTCAAGAAACTAAGATGACAAGACTTTGACAAAAAAAAACATTTGTATTGAACATAATTTGGATTTACATGTTTCTATGTGAGTTTTTGCACAAATTGTATCTCCATTTCTTATGCAACCTTGTTTTTCGGATTCTCGATGTGCAAAGGATTGTGGGAACAGCCAGAGCAAGTAAGAAATAAAAACAGTTTTTGTTTCTTTCAAATGTTTCAGGGACTATTATGACGAGGTGACGTGGTGTTTCTGCTACTTTGACAACCGCTGCAACAGTGCCGCCACTACGACAGTGTCACTAGTCACAATCCTGGCCTCGACGTTGTTAGCTCTAAAGATGTACATGTGATCCTTAGTGTAACTTGTTGTAAGCCTGAATCTCACTTCTGCAGTCATGACTCAAGTTTGCTACTAATCTAGATACAAATTTGAAATTGTGACATAAATAGGTAAGGTTCCAGCAAACTCTTATACCTGACGCAAACACAAAGTTGCAAACCAGCTGCACCGACAATCAGTTGGCTACCAAACATAACTCCTTTCCACGCACAGGTGTAAACATATGCACTCGTGAATAATTCTTATTGTATTTTACATTTGTACCCTAGGCTATTGGTAGCAACTAAATAGCTAACTCAGTTGAATAAAAATCAAATCCTATCTTTAATTGATAAGATTGGTTGAGAAATCCTTGTTTTAAGATGCGAAATTCAGCTTTCTCTGTGTGCGCTGGCCTTTAACATTTCACTTGTACAATTTTACTTTTTTACCAATCTTTTTTATTTTTACTTTTATTGCACATATGTATTTATTGATGTTTAATACAGGGTGCGGCAAAAAAACCGATCCATTTTCTGCAGAGCACTGTTCAGCAACAGGTAGTCTGAGAGTGGTGGAGTAGGCTCGTTGGAAAGCCTACACAAAGCCATTTTTTGTAGTCATAGCAGTGGTTGCCTGAGCTACATGCGGTTGTTATGGAGTTGTTTTAAAAAAGTATTGAATTCATTTATTGCAGCTCAGCGGCATCGGCAGTTTCATGCATTCTTTCAATTAAGACGACATGGAGAAGTTCCGTTGCGTATCACAATAATGTGGTGGGTTACTAACTTTAGAACGGCTTCTGCGTTGAAAAGGAAGCTGAAAGGCCGTCCAAAGTCAGATCGGACGCCAGACAACTAACATTCGATAGAGTTTGTGCTGCTGTGGAAAACAGTACTCGCAGGCCCGCCCGAAAACAAGCGGCTTGCCGAACATGTCTGTGCTCAGTTACACGAATTTTGAGGTTAATTTTCATCCCTACAAATTAATTAGAATAATAACCTGTTTAATTGTGTTATCCATACAGATAATCACGACGGAACCTCTCCATGTGGACCTAATAAATAAAAGCACGGAACTGCCACTGAATTGCAATAACTGATTTACTATTTTTTTTAAACGACTAGATAACAACCGCACGTAGCTCATACAACCACTGCTCTATGATTACAAGAAATGGCATCGTATAGGCTATCCAACGAGCCTACTCCCACCACCCTCAGACGGCCTGTCGCTGAACAATAATGCGCTGAAGAAAATAGATCGGTTTTTTTGCCGCACCCATATTTGCAATGGCTCCAACGCCTGTACACATTTCAAAGACCTTAATTTAAATGTAATTGATTTAAAAAATTTCAGGGCTGTGCGAATAGTTCGAAAAACGAATCGAATCCGAATCTTTTTAGAGATTCGATTCGGATTCGAGAACGAATCTACTGTTTCTAACTGGATTCGGAGTCGGAATCGATATTCGAATTTACTGGTAAGAGATCCGGGTTCGGATTCGATATTCGAATTTCTTGGAAATAGATCCGAGTTGGGATTCGATATTCAAATTTACTAGATTCTGATTGAATATAATTTTCAATATAATTTTTTAGACACTAAAAAACTACTTGTGCACTCCGATTTGCTGTTGACTGGTTCATGTTAGGAACCTGACCAACTTGGTGTTAGGCTTTAGGCACATTAGTGTAGGTCGCATTTGAACCCTATCTTGGCTATCAGTAAACTTAACCTCACAGTGTTAGTTGTTACTTGTAATAGTAATGCAGACATAGGCTTGTGTGGAGGATTAACACCGAGGTGTATAATAGGCTGGGCCTATGTTTTAGACTACACAAATTGGCAGTCCACCGTTTTAAGCGAGTAACTTAGGCCTAGGTGGTATGCCTAACTTATGCCCAATTTTTTAGTTTCAAAACTTCAAATAGGTAGGCCTAAATTTTATAACTTTTTTATATGGCCCATTTCAAGAATTTTTTTAAGCAATTCCCTAAGTTATTTCAGCCCCAGAAAATGTGGTCTAAAAATGTGAAAATTGGTACTGCTGACTTTCCTCGGATTTGGATTCGACTCTGAACAGGTTTAAATATTCGGATTCGATAACAGCTTTAAATTTCAGATTCGGATTCGATCCAGGTTCGATAATGGCTGTAAATTTGAGATTCGGATTCGACCCAGATTCGACTCGGGATTAATTAAAATATTCGGATTCGATAAAATCTGTACAGCTATGATTCGGATTCGGATTCGAACCAAAATTTCTGGATTCGCACAGCCCTGAAAAATTTATTTTATTAATATGAGCCAAACCCACCTAGCAATAATTAATACATTTACATGTCCAATTCACTGTAAACAATGTTCACATTGCATATTTGTGTATTTTTGTGTGTTTCATACTTTTGACAAACAAAAATATTATCTGATTGTCAATTTTATACTGCTTGTTACTTCTTTAAACTGTAATGAGGACATCCCATACAGTTTAGGCTTACTTGTGTTGTATAGATTACCTTTGACGAACATTTTAACTGTGCCTTATTTGTACAAATAAATGTATATTGTTACATTTTTAGTCTAGGATAAGTATTGAACAAAATGAATTCACTTCAATCTATTATTAAAGTTAAGTACACGAGTTATTTAAAAGTGACCTTTTTTACCTTCAAAAAATAACATTTTTTCTAATAAGGGAGTTTTTTGTGTATTAAAAAGCCTTTCAAATCAGGTAATGGTAATATATAACTTGGGAAATTGTTAATCAAGGAAAGTATCATAAAAAGAGTAACACACTTCAATTTTTCAAAGGCAAAAATTATCATAGCCTCCTCTAATATAAGGCGACGGCTAGACAAAAGTGGCAACACTGCTGTCCCAAAAAACCGAAATAGCTGTTGCACAAATTTATAATGGACTGTATATGCAATATTTATGTTTACACTTAAGTTATTTCTGTTATATAACCAATGTTTATTTGTTATTTATCCAGTATAATTTACATTTTACAGTAGCCTAAGGTGTCAAACAGTTGAATTCCTGTAGCAGTTTGTTTTTCGTATCAACTACGATACATCTTCAGCTGGGTAGCACAGGTTAAAACAGCTCACATTGAGAATGTTTGTCACACATTAAAATAAAACAACGAATACGGACACACATTATTTACAAATTTACTAACATTGACGACTCAGACGAATCAAACTAAACGATACCTTAGTAAAAGGTAAACTATACTGAATAATTGATACGTGTCTAGGCTTTAGTAACGAATATTATTTGTTATTATGTCAATAGGAATATCAAATCAAATCAAATAGGCATGACATTGCAACGTTTTCATTCACCAACATGTATTAGAGAAGGCTATAAAAGAATACATTATTGTGAGGGCATTTGAAGACAATTTCTGAATATTAATCCTACAACATATTGCTAATTAAAAGCCATTTGAAGTTAAATTAATCATAAAGGTGTATATTTTTCTTGTAGGGAATTGAGAGGTTGATTTTTACGAGGCTTTATAAATATTATATGAGTACTGAGTAATACATTGCTGTACACTTTTCTGTTTGTAATGTCTATTTATTTTTACAAATTGTACAATTTTATTAATTATTGTAAGTTAAGTGTAGAAAGCTATTTTGAACACTTTCACAGCCGTGCCAATAATAAATTTGTGGCTTATTGTACTTTAGCATTCATGCTTGGTTGCACAATTTTATTGTTATCCTTAATTTTTAGGATTTTTATATTTGATGGAATTATTTGCTAAAATTAAGTTTAATGTTTTGAATTAATTTTATTTAACTGATGAAATGTAAGGTGTGTCTTGCTTAAGCCTTGTAATTTTTAAGTTTGTTAACATTTATAAAATCAAATTTATTGGTCTTCCTGAAATAACGCAATCCGTCCATTGTAATGTAAGGTAGATCTACTTTTTTAGTTTTTATAATTACCATTGTGTATATTTGGATTAAAATTAAATATTTTCCATATTTATAGGACTTAATTTGGCTTTGTTTTTTACTCATCCCATTACAATACCTTATTTATTTGATATATATTGGCTGTTATTGTCAATTTTATTGGGTCAAAATTCTAATTCTATGCTTACTATACCTTAAGGTAGGATCTCTTGAGTTAAGACTGTAACAGCTGCAAAGCTTTTAATGACTGTGTTTAATGTAGGGTATCTAAAAAGGGTTTATTTCGTTGCGGCATCCTGCAACTAGAACCCAGCTAACAATTTAATGCTCACGGACTTCAGTTGATTGTTTCACAACACTTTGATGAATGTTGTCTGTGAATGCTAACTACAACGTAATTGGATTACATTTGGATTTTAGCAAAATAATCGATAACACTTTATAAACAGTCATTTATTTACAAAATACAGAATTGGAAAAATAAAACTATAAAACAAAGTCTCATAATAAACAATGTAAAAAGCACCTTTATTCGTACCACTTCTTTTTGTTAGTTTGAGATAGTAATTTTGATTTGTACTTGTCAACCAATTTACTGAATGTTTCGTCCTTTTCTAAAGTCTTCTTTTTCTTTGATGAAACTTTTTCAACCTAAAACAGAGGGTTTCAAGTCCAAATTAGTAATTTTCAAAAGAAAAGTAAATTACTTTGCGGAATATGAAATGGAGAAAAGGAATTATAAATTTATCTTGATCCGTAAAACTACCCTATGTAATTGGTGTATAAATAATGTGGCGGACAATTGGAAAATAATTTAAAATTTTGCATAATTTATTTTTTTTACCAGTCCCTTGGTGTTTAAATGACCCAGTTCCATTGTATTACTGAACAGTGTACTCTATCTAGAATCCATACTGTCTTTATCTGGCCAATTAGATAAATATAAGCTTTTACTAATTAAATAGGACTTTTCATAAACAACGACCATAGAATATACTGTAGTTGAAATGGGTGTTTTTTTTTACTATGTTTTTTTTATCTGCGTGCGTTCTGGTGGCAAAAGCACCAATAGAGTGCTTCGTGATTTCTACAATACAATATGTACTACCACGGCCAGCCAGACAGGATGACAGGAACGTTTACAAGCTAAAATATTCACACGTTTCAGCCTTACTGCACAGTTATGTATGACTATAGTAACTTTTGGATTAACAATATTGAATTAGGAGCGGTCTTCAATCAAAAACACAACAGAAACAAATGTATCTAGAAAGTTACAAAATAATATTCTTTTGGCAAGGATTGGTATCTTAGGGGCTGGTTAAGCCCTGTTTAAACAACCCAATTGGCGGGCAGGTTACTTGCCTCAAGTAACTTGAAATACACTAGAGGAAAGTAACTTGCCTGCTTACTGGCCTTGTGTAAACGCAGCTTTTGAAAGTAAAGGTTTTTATTGTCCCTACATATATAAGCTTCACTCAAGAGTTATACAATGAAATAAATAGGTGTTTCCTCAGTCACAGGTATTGGAAGGTATAAATCACAATAGTTATGGAATCTTTTTATAAGTATTCCTGTGTTATTGTTAAGTGAAGCTCACCCTTTACTCAAATTAACAGGCCATTAACATCCAAACCTTGAATACAAAAAAATGACATTGAACACAATACCTTCTGCTTTTGTAAATGCTCCTTCCGCCTCATTTTTCGACTCAACTTCATCTGTTGTTTCTGTTTCTTCACGTCTTTTAAGTGTTTCTGTGCTTGGTCTTGCAGCTTGAATTTCTTCCTCATCTTGACAGTAGCTCCGGGAGTTGCAGCCATACCGGCATATTCCGGCTGAGGTTGGTCTTTGTTGGAGTTGTTGATTTCTCTTTTAAACTTTTTATTCTTTTTTGAGACCGTCTCCCCTCCATCTTCATCAGGTTTGTAGTCTTTGGACAAAGGGTTTCTTTGTTGACTCTTCAGTTGCCTCTTTGTTTTGACGTTGAGCACAGTTTTGTTTTCTATTGAAAACGACACTATTGGTCTCTGAAAATGGTTTGCAATGATTTTACAATGTTTGATGGACACATTTTTCTTGTGAAAAGACACAATATGACATTAAGAACCAAGGAGTTTTCAGGGATGCTTACCCAAGAAAATTATAAAATATGGTCAAATAGACATAAAAATAGGTTTACATGTATATACATTTACGGCACCCTGTTACCTGTAGTTACTTAGTTTTATTTCAACTGTGTTTTCTTATAGCATTTTGCATTTAATCAACTGGAAATAATTTATTGCTTTTCCACAATTATAATTTTTTAGCTTCTCAAGACTGTTCAAAAGCAGCTAGATCCAGTGGATTTATAGATGTACACACTAGTATCTATATATTAATAGGCATTTAAATAAACAATCAACAACAAATGAACATTTTTATAAGCATCAATGATTGGTCCACTGCCGGCGCAGCAAGCAATCTATATGAATGTGCTTAAGTTATATCTTATCAATGTCTCATGAATGTTACCTACTTGTG